GATAGAAAGATAGATAGATAGATAGATAGATACATAGATAGATAGATCGATCGATAGATCGATAGATCGATAGATCGATAGATAGATCGATCGACCGATAGATAGATAGATAGAATAATAGAATAGACAGACAGACAGACAGACAGACAGATAGATAGATAGATAGACAGATAGATAGATAGATAGGTAGATAAATAGATAGGTAGGTAGGTAGATAGTCAGGGAAAGAGAGAGAAAGAGAGGAGACCTCAAGCACCTTTCGGTCCATCAGTGGATTCGCTCCGCCGTCCCTGATTCACAACAACCAATCTCAATATAGGTTTCCAATTCTTGAAACTTCCGCCACCGCCTTGCGCGGTACTAGTGGTAGTGGTAGTTGTAGTGGTAGTGGTAGTGGTAGTAGTAGTAGTAGTGGTATAGTAGTAGCAGTAGTGGTAGTAGTAGTAATAGTAGTAGTCGTCGTCGTAATAGTAGTATAAGTAGTCGTCGTCGTCGTCGTCGCCGTGGTGGTGGTGGTGGTGGTGGTGGTCGTGGTGGTAGTAGTAGTAGTAGTAGTAGTAACAATTGAAAAACCATGATTAACCATTTATTGGCTAACATTAGTAATCATTGACAGCCATTATAACATTTACCATTCACTCAATCCCAGCAATAACATGCAATAACTCGAGTATTCCGTTCATGGCTCACGTCCCGCCTCCTCACACTTGGCTTTTCTCATGGCCAACAACGAGGCCTCCTCCGCCTGCCTCAGGGCCGCTTCTCGCGCGGCGATCTCGCTGTTGATGGCGTCCTTGCTCCACAAACACAGCGCCTCGAGCCCGGAGTCGACCTTACAATTGCCACCGTTCATACGGAGGTAGATCTCCTGGCGAAGAATAAAAAATAACTCATGGGAAGAGATGCTTGTTCTGATTGTTTGTTGTGAAACTCCATGTTTCTTGGGTTGCGCATCTGGAAGCGCACAATTACCAACGGCTGCGCGGTTTACGACCTGTCATGCATGAAATCTATTCTTACATGGGTTTCAACCGTTTCAACCGTTTCAACCTCAGATTTCAGCAATTTCAACTGCAAGCAAGAGGATCTCAGCAATCAGGTATCAAACTCTTACAGCTCGCCTTTCACGATTTGGGCTTTTCAATGCAATAGGGCTGCTTCACAGTGATCTTTTGGGGGGGCTGATGTTTAACTTGGAGATGTTGGCTGAAATCTTCACCAAATGCTCTTTTTGTGCCTTTTCTCCCACCAAAGTTTGTGTTGCCAACAAGCTTAGCCATGGCACTTCTGCTTGAAACCAAAACCCTAGTCTCACGGTGGTTGAACTGCTGGATCTATCATTCCAGCATCCGTCCTGTGTCTCAATGATGGCTCCCATGCAGTGCAGGTTTGAACAAATCGCGTTCTCCGCGTCAGAAAGGCTCAAGAACTTCTGGTTGATGGTGTCAGTCGGGGTGGTCAACCATCCGCCATTGGGATGCAAAGGGCATTGGATCTGATCATATGAAGGGCGTTGCCAACACATGCGGTTGTTGGGGTCGATCACCGCATTGAAGTTGCCGCGGGGAAAGGCCAAACACGTGACACCTCGGGGGAACTGTGACGCTGCAAAGTTGGAGTTGGAGGTAAGGCCTTGTGGTGGTGTCATGGATACATGATGCTTAATGAATGGATAGTGAATGCTTAATTGATGATTCATTGATGATTAATGCAGGGATGATGAACTGCTGCTTTAATGATGAATTCATGGTCAATCATACGATATAATTTACTGTGAGAAAGGAGGCAAGCCGTCTCACGCAAATCCGAGAGTGACACATAATTTACTGTACAACTCCTACATAATAGCACCTCCATACTGCTTCCTTCCACCATGACACCTCTGAAAAGAAATCATCACAACCTCACCTCCCCAACCCCACAGGTGCACCTTGCGGTATGCCATTGGGAATCTCCCCAGGAGGACAATATTCACAGCTGGGGCCCTCCTTGGTTTTCACCATGCCTGCGGGGCAGTCCTGGCACTGGCCGTCTTTGGGGACGGGACACAGATCCGCCACCACGGTGCCGCAGCGCTTGCACTCCGTGCAGGCCAAAGAGTCAGACACCTGGGGCCAAGGGCAAAGGCAAGGGGGCCATCATGTGTTGATGGTCATTAACTCATGATGATGGTGGCTAAACTGGTGAACTATCAATTGGTCGGCCATCATAACATATCATGAATCGTAACCCACTAGTATGATGAAATTCGTGAAATGAGCGATGATAAGCACAATGATGATAACAAGAAGAATGGTAACTTATTGATGAGAATGATAATAACAAAAGTTACAAATTGTAGTAATGATAATCATAAATCAATGATTCGATGGTTCTAAAAAATACATTGTCATCAAAGCTTATTGACCCAGAACCGTTTTTTGTGGGCACATGATGTTCCAGGAACTGTGTAACTCGTTGGTTCATTGGACTGGCAGCCAGGTAACTGGGCACCAAAGGACACATGGGAGCCAAACGGTGAAAGAAATCTGGCTCCAAACCTCAACGAACCTATTATCAATGAATCATCAATAACCAATGTTCATTGATTCATGGTCCGCAATCAATTGTCAATGAACAATGAATTGCCAATAGATATAATGTTGTACCCCGATTAGTGTGGGGATACTGTATTGCGTCAAGTTTTCACAAAATAATTCTGACCCGGTGTACTTGTTGGGGTGGGTCGGTATTGCGTCAAGCTTTTTTCTGATGCCATTTTTTTCAGTATTTTTCAGTTTGTTTTAAGCATTTTTGTCAGTGTTTGTTTCAGCATGTTTTCCAGTGTTTTCATTTTTCAGCATTTGTGAAAACAATCAGATAATTATTAATTATATAATCAATTAATTGATGAATATTTGTTTGTTATTGTGGTGGTCCTCTATTGTGTCCGGTTGTTGTCTGAGGAAACAAATTTTCAAGGTTGCGACCCATCAGCAAGATTGATCTTCAATAATTAATGTGTTTGTTGTGGTGGTCCTCTATTGTGTCCAGGTTTCTTCTGAAGTGAACCCTGAAGTTAACCCTGACATTGTTTGGGGGGACCCTACACCAATCAAGATCCGACATTATAATGAATTATCAAAAAATAATGAATCAATAAATAACGAACTAACAATAAACAATAAAAAATCAACTACTTGGGTTTTTAGTTAATAATTAATGATCATTTATTTCACAAGTCCTGATGATTATTTGGTTTTGATGAACGAGGGTCTGTTTGTTGATGGTTGATGATTGCTTATTGTCAGCCGACGTCCAAACACCTCAAATTCACGTGTTTGGAACGACCACGAGCTGAAATGTGCAGCACAAAAAGTTCTCGATGAACAAATGTAAAGTAAAGTAGTAACTTCTAACAATGACAAAATCCCTAGAAAACAAAAGTTATACAATTGTACAAAAATAATAGGTCCCCACTAGAGACAATCATGTAGTTTATATGTAGCTTATAACAATGACGAACCAAATTTTGGATGGCTTATGCCATTTCAAACTTCATACTTCATACCAAAATTCTGTTCATAAATCATAGCAACCATCTGTATTTCCAATGATTTCCCAGCTGGCTGGCATGGTTTTACCGGTCAGACATCACCACCACCCTTCACGTCCCGGGGCACCGCATAGGAGTCATGCGCTGTGCCCTCAGGACACCTCTGACAGCTAGAAGACCCCGAGGAGTTGCTGAAGTAACTGGGGCCACAAGCGACGCAAGAAGTGCTCGATTGGGAGCCGCTGTGCTGGTTGAAGTATCCTGGCCTCGAAACACACTGTTGGAAGTGTGTTCCTAGAGCAAGATTATAGGTTTCCAGGTTATGATGAGGGGATATTGAAACTTGTATGTGGGTTCTGGCTGGATTTTGTTCTTATGAATTGCCCCAAAAAACACCCAGATTCTTGATGATGACTATGCATGATCTATGAACTAAGTATGAACTCACCATGAGTTGTCTGTTAAATAAGCAGCAAATAGCAGCAATGATCATCCAATAATCATTAATTGCCATTCCTTAACCATTAATTAGCTAAGCATTAACCATCATTTGATCCTTCATTAACCATGAGTTACCATTCATCAATCATTAACTAACATTAACCCTCTAGTAATCTTTTACGTGGCCTGCCCGAAAATCCACGATCTTCATTATCATCCAAATTTTGGGTTGATGTTCTTTTCCGAAAATCCACGGTTGGTATGCTAATCACCCATGTTTGTATCACCTGGTCCCCAAATATATGATATATATATATATATGATATGATGATCCACCTCGAAAGTTCTCAGTTGTTTCAATGTCAATATGGCTCACGGATTTGCAGGAAAGACCTTCACATCTTGTTTGTCCGCAAGGGTTTGCCAAGAAATGATCATTGATTATCGTTGATGTTTTGTTGATTATGTAAGTTACTTGTGCTTAATTGTTGATTGATAACGATATTGTCAATTCATATATACAATTATTGTTAATTTTACGTGTTGACATTAATGTGCATATACATGTGGTACATCAGTGGTTTGTTCATTTTTGGTTATATATTTATATACCAAGAATCAATCATCAAGATCATCAAGTATTGGTGATTACTGATGATATATACCGGATTATATACCAACATATACCAACATATACCAACATATACCAACTATTTGCCCCAAAATCTCCCGTTAGCGCCTGCATGGCATACAGCTCACCGTGCCCAGCTCCCCTGCATAGCTCCCCGCAGGACAGGCACTGCACGCGACGCCGCCCAGGCCAGGCATCTCGGTGCCCAAGGGACATGGCGTGCAGGCATCCAAGCCTACAGGGCTACATGGCATGGTCGGTTAGTACTGGTTAGTACTGGTTAGTGTTGATGAATGCTAACCAATGATGAGTGGTTAGTGGTTAGTAATGATTAATGATTAATGACAATGGCTGACAACGGTTGATCAATATAATATAATGGTTGGGTAATGAACAATGACCGATGATTGATGATAATGGTTATTAATGATGTGTAAGTATTGGCGATTAATAACTGGTTATTAATGATTCATATGGTTAGTAATTATTAATGGCTGATAATGGCTGATAATGGTTGATTAGTGCTTCATCACTCAACTATTGAATGATGAATATCATTATAATCATGCATGATCAATGATGATTAATGATTAATGATTAGTGCTTGACAATAATCGATTCCTGATACCTCCACGCGCCTTCCTCAGCCGCATAGGTTCCAGGCCGACACACCGGACACAGGCCGCCCTTCCCCGCCCGGCCCAGGGGGCACAGCTTACACAAAGCACCATCGCCCTTGGCCATCTGCCGATCCGGGCATACTGAAGCCGACAATTTCCAGACATCCACAGCACCTACCCCCAGATCCCTGGAGAGCAGCATGCTGTTGCCACCAGCAAGTGCTAAAGATAATATGCCTGCCGGATGGCTCAAATTGGCTCAAGGCTCATGAAAACCATGAAAATCGTTGATGATGGGATGATTAGAAACTGGAAGATAATTTATACCGTTTATACCCCACAGATGCGGAAAATCTCTCACAATCAAAAAGAACGAAGATTGCCATGCAGAAACCCGAAATCGCCAAGGGAATGTTCTACGAAACGCCAACCTGGCCCCTTTTCTATCCAAAGCCAAACTGCACATGGCCACCGATTTGCCGAAAAAAAAGAGGAAACACCAAGAGGAAGACAAGTAGACAACTAGACAACTGAGCAAAGCCTTCCAGGAGTGAAAGGACCGGATAATTCACGAGCGAAATGTGCTCAAAGTATCCTATAAAAGAAATTATCGCAACAAGCTAAGCTTTCAAAGAGTGGATGTCCAACACCCAACTTTTCTAGATGTGTTGTTCTCGTTTGAGGATCTCTGATGGATTTGTGGTTCCTGGCTCGATGGTTTGGTTTGGGCAACCTACCGGTTCAACTTTTGATGATCTTCGCGTGATCTGTGGTGATTTCTGTTTTGGCAAGGGTTTGGGATGAAAAAACATGATAGAAGGTCTGCACTGGACGCTTTTCCGATAGAATTACTGTGGGACCTTGCACGGAAAGCAATGCTCAGCAGGCACCAACTGACCACCATCACAAAAGATCACTACCAGAGAGTTACAGTATGAGGTGAATAGCCACACCCAGCACCACTCAAACTCAGTCAGGTCACACAAGGCAAAAATCACAGTAAGCCGGAGAATAGTGGTCATTTTCCTCATGGTCGTGCGTTACCAAATGCGGCAAATAAAAGCAGCGACATATACATTCTCAACCCAATCTAAAGAAAGAGAGAGAGAGAGAGGGACCATCACCTGTTTCACCTTGGTTCTTCCCCCAAAAAAAAAAGAGAAGCTGGGCCCTGGCCACGCAAAGTCTGGCCTTTCTTCTCGGTCAGCGTCATAAAGCGGGAGCCGCGTTTGGTGACCTCGTAGTAGTGGTAATTGTTGGTGGGGTCCCATTCCAGGCCACCTCCGCCATTCAGACCTTCACTGGCGCTGCTCAGCCAACAGGTTTTGGGCCCATGGGTCTTGCCATCTCCCTTCTCAGCATAGTCGAAGGAGGTACACCAAGGATTTTCACAGCACAGCGACTGGCATTCATCCACCGTCCTGCCTTCCACTACGTAGCGGTTGAAGCCAGGCAAATAATAACCCATGGAGTATGTGAACTCACAGGATGGACCTTATGCTTCAATGGCTGGACATGGGGCATCGATACCATCAGTGGGCTAAGTCTGATGGCCTTTTGTGGAAACTTCATGGCTTCCACAAACGCAACGCAAGATCTCTGGTAAGGGCTCTTTTGTGGCCAAATCCCGACACACACAGATTCTGGATTGTGCATAGAAAGAGGCACAAGTTCTGGACGCTTTCCCGATGCAAAAAGAATATTTTTTTCATGCTTCACACTCAATAACCAATGACAAGCTCCCATCTCCGTCATCCGAAAACCAGGTGTTTCACTTCAACTCTTGAAAGTTATGGTTTCAAACCATCAATCAATACCATGCTATGGATGTTTGGCAAATCATGAGCGATATTGTAAGAAATGCAATGGTTCGTTGCAAACAGCTCCAAAAAGAACATATCGGAGACATATCGCCATACTTTCCAGGGAACTCGTTGCAGGCCGCCACAGAATGAGTTCCTTCTCATCACCGGAAGCCAGCAGGGGACCCGATGGGATCCATGCGATGGCATTCACCGGATGGTTATGGTCATACAAAAGCGTGGCCAATTTCCAGGAACCGCCTTGATGATGCCAAATTCCTTACTCGCAGCAGGTGCTTTTCATTGCTTTTCACTTTTTCTGACTTTCTGTGTCTGCCTTTTCGAGGAAAAGAAAGCATATCGGACAGGTTCATGTCAAAAGAAACAGAGGATCGCAAAAATCGGATCACCCTTCGGATAGATGGTTATTGATAACCAACAATTTACTGTACCATCCATAAACCGGATTGATTCATGGATAATCAGATATATTTGTTCAAGATAAATTCTCCTGCAGCTCAGATTCCCACATTGGAATCCATGGATGCACTCGCCAGCAATCCTAGCGATGGCAAGAAACTCAGGCTGGTGACTAGCCGTGAATGTCCGCTGAGCCTCACGAAGGTCCAACTCAGCTCGAAAAGGCAAGGAAATTGTTCTCTTTGGTAACAGTGATACTTTAAGAAAATAGGACATTCTTGGAAAATGTTCTTGTGTGAATGGTTTATTGGTGTTTATTAATGAATGGTTTTTTGTGAATGGTTAAATGCTGGTTAATTCATGATAATTAGTGGTCTACCAATGGTTCACTAAGGGTTTATTGGTGGCTTATTAGTGCTTTATTAAGGGCTTATAAACATTAAACATACCAAGGGGAAATATGTGTCTATGGAATATGAGTGCCTCCAGTTGATACTTGGTGGTTGATTTGTTTGAAAACCCACCTGCTGAGTTTGCTCCAACCCGTCAACTTCACCCAGATTTCGATGTCCGCGAAGGAGGCCACCGCCAGGCCCTGCTTTTGACCGAAGGTCACCATCTCCATGGCCTTGGGCGCCCAGCTGAAAGGCCCCAGCGTCTCGGGTGTTTCACCGCCTTGCTGCTGGCGCCAGGGAGCCCCCAAAAAATGAGGAAAACTTGGGAAAATCAATGAAAATCATGTTTTTGTTCCTGATGATTTCCTGATTGTGGGCTGAAATGATGGTTTCTCCACGTTTTTGGGACTTATCGGCATAGCATCATTTGTGTTTTTTTTAGATATATCGGAAAGTCATCACGGCTCACAGTGTCCTACACTACAATGAAAGCATCGTTCACCGATGCTACTCTACATAAGCCTGTGCAGTGACCCCAAAGGAAAAGGAGGGGAGCACATGGCAGCAAAAGGTGTCTAAAGGGGAGCTGCATGAATCAGTACCACCAAACAAATAAAGAAGAAGAAACGAGCGCCATGGTAGCGTCGTCCTGCTATACGCCCAGCAGAAAGCTGTTATTGGTGATGACTTAAGGATTAATCCGCGGCCACCTAAAGGACCTAACAAACATTCACAAAGTGTCTGGTTGACCTCTCCCCCTCCTGCCAAAGCTGTGGGAAGGTCCGCCAGCGGCCACAGCGCCACCATCTCATCTTCCCTGGAGCCCAGCAAGCCCAGCGCAGTGTGTTTGAGGTACCGCACACGGCCACCCGCCGCCATGGTGCCCAAGGAGATCAGGGAGGTGCTATTCAGCTGCCAAAACTCAATGGATGTACCTCAAGTCGGAAAATTGCTGGAATGGGATGTGGGGTGTGGGTGCTTAGGTTTGTTGATTAGGGGGGTTACCATTTTAGGACGAATTCTTACCAGTTTTTGGTGGTGACCCCCCAATAAATCAGGCCTTGGCGGCTCATCCTGGACCAACATCGTTAGCCATCACAACCCCGATTACGATTGATCAAATGATTAACTATATTGGTTACCTCGTAATGACGGCAAAAAAATTAATGGTCATTAAGATTATGGTAAATTCATGGCAATTAGTTGTTATTATTTAGCATAATTACAATTTTGAGGTACTATTATTCACTATTTTCATGAAATCATGGTAACTGGTAAGTTCATGTAAATTCATTAAATTCATGGTAACAATGGTTTCGGCTATGAATAAAAAACTCCCACTTGCAACTCCCAACCACCTCCTTCACTGGCACTGGCAACCCACTGAGTAGACACCGCCAGGGAATACGCCGGCGCGCTTTGCACCGCAGTGCAGAAGGTACGTTCTCCGCCATAGGAGCGCAGCGCATAGAGGCACAGCTTGGGGTCTTTGTCAGCAACCACGGCCACCTGGCTGGTTAATGTGGTTAATCATCATGATCAATTATCATCAAAGGTGAATGATTGATACTGGTTCATCCTGGTTAATCATGAATAATCCTCATTACAATGGTTAATGATAGTTCAGAATGATTCACAATGGTAATGACGACAATGATGAGAATGATAATGGTTAATCCATAAATGGCGATCCAAGCCATAGGGTAGCCATGACCCGCGTAAGGCTGATCATTTAGAGTAATAGTAATACCCAAAAATAAGCAGAAGAAAAGTGTCAGATGTTCATCATTTTAATATATATATATATAATTATAATAATAACAATAATAGAATAGAATAATGGGGTTTTACTTGTCTGCTTCTCTTTTCGGGGATGACCAGAGTGGGAAACCAGGCCCCATTTCAGGGATCAATCATTTTGAGCCATATCAAACCTCCTCGCTATCCACTGTGCTGGTAACCGCCAGGTTGACAGCTGCAGATTCGGCGAACAAGTCACCAATTTTTTCGGCCACAAGGATGGCTGCAGACGCCTCTTCAAATGAAACATCCTGCTGCCATGGGCATGTGGTGTCATTGTAGGAAACAGTTGTGCTGCATGCCTGATATGAATAGTAGAGTGGGCTTGACCCAACCGTCGTTGGCTGCACATCTGCCAGTGTACAAGAAGAACTCACATAACACCAGGCCCTGCAACACCACAAACCAGCGGTGGTATCGGGATAAAGCTCATTGCATTGCTGCAGGGTGCCACAAGCATGGCTGGAGCAATCGCCATCATCCCAGGCGGCGCAGGAAACGCCATACTCCACGGGAAGTCCCCGCGCCAGCCCTTCGGAGCCGGGACCCACACCGGTGCAGTCACAATTCCCAGCCGCTTTTTGCACGGCGAGGGCGAGGGTAAGCAAGGCCAACCACATGGCTGGGGCGAAGGCTGGGTGAAAAGCTGGATTCAGCAATCTGTGGGCAAACAGATCATTAGTGATTGGTATGTGATTTGGTGAAATCTAAAACAGCCAGGCAAGTAGAGCTTCAAGTTGAAATCTATAAATCTGTTCTCAGCCATGGCTAAACGTGACTGAAACCCCAAAGCTGAAAGCATTCCCTTCTCAATCAGTGTAATCAGTGCTCAATCCTACCCTCCTTGAGCCCAACCGCCAGACAGGAAAAGCTGGTCAAAATGAAATTGTCGATCAGTTGACCAATGATTAACCATGATTCACCATTAATCCGGCAGTGCAGGACAAATAAAGAACCACTGGGAGACAAATTGAGATATGTGGGCGATGCTTGGGAAATTACAAGAAGAAAAATCGGAAAGAAGCGGGGGAGACAAGTGGGAGGCATGCCAAAGACAAGTGGGAAATGTGGATCAAGTGAAAGATATGTGGAAGACACAGTGGAAGACAACTGGGGAGCACATGGGAGACGGGTGCGAGACGAGACAGGTCTGAGTCTACCAAGTTCATCGTTGCAGTTGAGCTGTGAGAAGTGGTGCGTGCGATGCCGTATGCCCCGCAAACATGATTTCCTAAACCTGTGCAGCCAAGAAGTGCATACTCCAAAAGGCAGGCAGAAATTGAGGAAAACGACTAAACTAAACGACTGATCTATGTAGGAAGTGTTGAAGCTGGAGGGACTTGTCATCTCCAAAGAAAACAAATCAAAGTTGATTTGTCGAAAACCACCACTTGAATTGATGATGTTTTGCACACATACATAAGTTGGGCCACCAGGTTGCCACTTGGGGCGACATCAATTTATGTGCAATCAAACCAGCAACTGACCAGCCACATCAAACCATCAAGCATTCATCAAGCCTCACAGGTGAGAATCCGGTCTCGGCTTTCTTCCAGCAGGCAAGGGCCGTCATTCAACCCATGGAGTCTGTTAATGTCATGGAATCTTGGGAAGCGGTGCTACCAAGTCTGCCCAAGCGGGGATGACTCAGTTCACTTTACCATTTGCTCAAATGCACCCATATGCCTTACATGTTCCAGCTTGGGACTGCAACAGCTGGGCTTTGTCATAGCCACGGGCCTGGAGATGAAAGAAGGTTTTGAAAGAAAGAAGTAAAGGTTTCACTTCTGCTGGATTCCTTGAAGGTATCTTGCATACATCTTGACGGCGTCTTGGGCAAATGTTCATTCTCAACGGCTGAAAATCGGGTGCCAAGCTCACTTCGTGAGATTTTCCACCACATTCACAAAAGCCATAAACACTGGGCTGCTCCTGCTTTCCCCTGTAGGGAAAGCGGTGTCTGCATCAGAGCAGGCACAAAAATGCTGCGATGGCCTTTCTCCAAGCCTTGACCGTTGGGAGCTAGCAAGAAGGAAAAGATGGAAAGTAATTATGGAATGTTTCAATAAAGTCCAGGCATGCTTGAGTCAGCTGAACAGTTTTGTTGAGCTATGTCAAAGTATATATGTTTTTTAATGTATACAAATTTGTAAAACATATGAAAGTGCGTAAAAATACTACTTTGCGCTCGCCTACGGGCTAGGGACCTGGAAAGGACCACAGCTGAGCGTCCGGAAGACCGGAAAAGCCTATCAACTCTTGACCATGCAATGCTAATTCCATGCAGTGCCAAAGGGTGATGTTTTTTAACGTGTTTTGATGGTGAAGGGAAGCCACTTACCGCAGTTGTGAAAGCTAAAAGCATCACCACTTTAGCTGAATTTGTGCATCCTGCAGCTGCGGTTTCTCACCGTTGGTCCTAGCAACAAATTGGCAATTGTCAGCCATTCATGGCTAAACGTTGCAAAGAACACTTGAAAGCAAGCGAGGGAGAACGAAAGCTACATAGTTGTGATGGCCCAAATGGAAGCGACGATGGGTATAAGATAAATGAAGCTTCATAGGGAGGGTCTTGCTGAAAGGATTTGCTAACAAGATGAAAACATGCAGAATACGATAGATCCTAAGCTGCACAGAGACAGGATGCAAAGAAGCGTTTCTGTACCAAAAGGAAATGTAAAGAAAGAGGGATCAAAACTGCAGAACAACGGAGTACGTAGGCTTCAAAATAGGTAAATTGACGTCCCCGGACCGGAAGCCGAAGCTGAAATATCTGAAACATGAGAATGTGTGGGGCACTGGCACGTTGTTGAAGTGTGGGTCACAATTTGTTCAGTCAAAACAGGAGGTGCGGGTGCGGCAAGATTGCGACCAAAAGATGTTATGTCCCGATGGTCATTGCGGGCAATGTCAAAGCATCAAGTGCGAGTGCATAAACTATCCAAGAGCAAATCACGCACTGGCAATAACCCCGCAGTCAATAAGGCACAAATGTTTACAAAAAAGCAGCCCCAAAATGGAAGCAATGCTAGGGACAAGGAAGATCAAGCAACCTGGCGAGAGTTTTGCTGACAGCATGTTTTAGGAAAGGGAACGGAAAAACCACGAGATGAATTCTCCCATACGCACACACAGAGATTTGATAGAAGTTCACTCCATGTCAGTGTGTGTGTGTGATTATTGCAATTATACAGTAGTGAAGTAGTGGTGTCATGCGAGGAGTTGTGCTATGCAAGAAAGGCTTTGAAAGGGAATGCCAAGAAGGAGGACTTCAAAAAGAACCCAGAAATCACGCCGGCGGAAAGAGGGATTGACCCTCTGATGCACAGAAGCGGTTCATAATTGACACATGCTGTCGCTATACCTTTTGTGATCAAAGAACCGTCTCACCGTGTCACTCATGTTGTGTCAATTCTTGGAGCGGTCCTTGCCAATGTAGATCAAGCCGGCTGTGATATCATCCACCACGGCTGCTCCCTCTTCCCGTATCCAACCTGTGGCTGTCTGGAAGGATGTAAGGCTGGACAAGGCTCCAAAGTAATGATGTAACATGACTCAACCAACCATCAAATGTGGTGGTTTTCCAATATTTGTCGAACACCCCAAATATCATTTCAAGTTGGTTGGTTATATCCCATTCTGCGCCCATCAAATCCCATTATATAAATCCCTGTTGTTGATGGTTCATCCGCCCATTCAATCCAATTCAATGATATGTTTTTGGCCATGTTTTTTTCTAATTAAACCATACGAAACCCCAAAGATCAAACAAAATCAAAGAATACTAAACCCCATATATCCATATACAATCATATACATACATATATATATATATATATCATCTGTATAACCCATGCAGTTGGGGTTCCAAGTCCAAGTGACGATCCCACGACTCTTTCGCGAGGAGCGCCACTGCTTGGTCGCCCATGTCGTAGGGCCTCGTGGTGACGATGTCAATGGCCTCACCAGGCGGCCCATCCCGGCATCGATATATTGAAAAAAAATAGAAGAGATACATTAGCTATATATATATATATTAACCACAAATTATATATATATATGTGTGTGTATATTGTATATATATATAGAGAGAGAGAGAGAGATAGATATAGCAATAGATAATATCTGCATTAGTGTTTGTAAGAATTTTATATATAATATCATATAATACTTACATGTTCTAGTTATTTCATGTTATTTCTAGACATGTACAGGTGTATTACATGATACAGATTCCGTTCTCTGCTGAAAGTCCAAGTCCAAAGTGCTCTCTTTCGTGATGTCTTCCATACCATTGAACCCCATCGTGCCGTCCGTTCAGAGCGGGTGTCACCACACAAGGACCCTCTTGAACAAAAACAGAAGAATCGACAGTCTACGAGTCTACGCCTCTTGAGCTGACATGAATTCCCAAACTCCATCGCTGCAAATCAACAGGATCTGCTCTGTACTGCTATCCAGGTTGATCCTTAGACGACACAATTCGAATCAATTCGAGTCACTGGTTCTTCGCCTCTGATTTTCTGACTTCCTTGTACTTCATTCAAGGCTTTTGTAGACACAACACGCCGCAAGACTCCAAACATCTCCAAACCCTTGGTGCAAATTTCATCCAGCAACAGGCGATGCTCTGAAAGGTTCAGTCTCAAAAAAAGGAAAGCAAAAGAGTGCTAACTCAAGTGAGGCATTTTGGAGTCATAGACTTGGGTAGTCTTGGGGCTACTTGAGAAGTGGCACAGCCGTTCCGCAAGAGATGGTGATTGTAGTTCTCGATTTGATTTCGATAGTAGATCCATATAGATCCACCATGTGATCTCTGATGATCTCTTCTCCAAGGGTTTCCAAGGCAGGTGCCGCGTGATCTCTGGCTCGCAGATGATCCCGCACTCCTCGTGACCTGGCAAAATGGGATGTTGGGCCAGTGGCAGTGGCAGCCACCAGGTGGAACTAGATGGAGCTAGATGAAACATGATAAAACTAAACCAGTTGCGGATAGTTTAGGTAGTTTAAGAGTGTTCAAGTGACGCTAATGACAACGGATGGACTTGAATAGGATGGACATTGACAGCAGGATTGCTTCTTTTGGACTTCGTGCGTCAGGACGCCACAACTGTTCAAGATTGTTCAAGGGCCACACCTAAAGTGTCTCCCAAGCAGCGAGACATGTTCAAACCAGGGTAGGCTGTTGAATCCTTGGCCTCGGTCCGGTGAAAATCTGGTGACGGTCATGGCTTAGAGGTCATCGCCTGTGACTTTGACAAGTGTCATCAACACTGGAAACGCATAAAACATATCAATACATGAAACCTATCATAAAGAGATCATAAAGCTCTATGATATACAAAGGAAAGTTCTTCCAAGGCTCATAAACACGATGATTTGTGCCGTCGAAGCCCTTGGTCTTGACAGCAGCTGGATAGGCTGCCCAGAAAAAAAGTGGAAAGCGCGTGTGTTTGTTTTTGACTTATTTCTCAAGTTCACTGCCAATTCTTTGCTCACGAGTTGTCAGAGTCATAGTCATGGACCAGACTGCACTCATTGCTAGCATGTGCTGGCAAGTGACAACCTTAGCCCCTGCTTTTTCGATTCGTTCGCGCTCACCCTGCACGAAGAAAAAGAAATCGGATGAAGACGCAAGACCTTTTTTGTCATTGACTCCGACATGGGCAACTACAGCAACCAGCCTTCAAGTTGGGCTTATGATCACGGGTCACGGCTTTTCCAATCCACTTATCCCCTTAGTCGCAGAGTAACCCACACAACAACAACTATACTCGGAGAAGCATTTCTACCCGAACAGGTGCGCTTCACCCAAATTACCGTTCAAGACATCTTAGTGATCCAATCTGAGTGCTGGGTCAGCAACCCTCCTTGGTTCCAAGAACTGCAGCACTGTCCGCCTGATCGGCAAAACTTCGAGCAGAAAAAAGAAATGGACGGACCATGACGGACCATTGTAGATTTTAGATGGCACAGGATAGCACCAACTCACAAGTTGCATGGGATGTGACTCAAATGTTTTGGATCCAATAATGCTGCCAGGCAGCAACGTGCGCTATGGTTAGCTTCCCACGGGAATGGTCCTTGCACGCCAGCGACAGGATGTCGGACAAATTTGCTCAGAATTTCTGCCTGCAAGGATAAACATCGATACAGATACATCTATAATCATCTATACCATTCTATACCTATCCATATCTAATCTATCCTATAGTCCTACTCAGTCCTACTCCCTTCATTTCCTTCCCAACTCAGACGAGCTTCAAGCAAGGCCACCGTCGCTGTGGTGCCCGATTTTTGGGCTTGCAGCCTCCGGCGACTTTGAGCAGCGATCACCTTTGGGCTCCGGTTGTCCATGGTTGTCCCATCGGATTTGATGTCCGTCCGATGTCCACCCTGGTCCACCCTGGTCCACCCTGGTCCACCCTGGTCCACCCGTGCTGGATTCTGGTTGCGACTGTATCACCCTTTGTCAAAAGAATCTCACATGACCAGGACTAAAACAATCAACATTATTCAACATTTATCATTTATTTATCGACATTAATATCATTAACATGTTTGCTGAACATGGTCTTTATACCATTTTATACCTTCCTGTCCAAGGCACCAGTCTCTGCATCTTCTTGAAAGCATCCACCAGACAAGGACCGGCCTCTGGGGACTTTGACCTCGGCAGGGACACATGCGGGCTTTCTGATGTGGATGTCCAGGAATTGGTTGGTAACACATGGTAACACTGCACCTTCCGTAACTAACACATACTAACACCACGTTGTCTCATCCCAAAAACTACAGTGACTGCCATCTGATGCCATCTGCCACCGAGGTGCCTTGGGTCTTGCACTATCAGCTTTGGAAGATGCTCCTGGGGACAGATATGTCCCGATGATTCCCCATGAGTTGAACACCTGAGAGAATCTGTGAAAACATGTGAAAGAGTCAAAACAATCTCCTTCACGAACTGGGAGATTTCATGGCCGTTTGGTCCATGACCGTCAAGAACGGCATAAAGGGAAAATGTGTCCTGGCAATGTCTGGGTTAGTTGGTGGGGCATGGGGTTCAGTCTTTAGCCACTAGCCGGAATCCTTTTAATCTCAGATCACATCTTTTCCATTCTTTTCTTCGGAGTCTTTCTCCCATGCAGCTGTGAAAGAGACGGGATCGGTCCATCTTCAAGACAAACCAGGTGTCTTGATTCGGAGTGTCAGGTTTCAAACCTCAGCTTGGCTGCTTGGCTTCTGACTCCACTTGATTCAAGCTGATCATCTGCCAAAGACAGCGCAGCTTAACGTTCAAAACCCAGCCAAGCTGCCCTTGCGACAGGTAAATGCGATCCCTGCAGGCAAAAGGTCCACGGCATCGCCAAGCACCTCCACACACCTCAACGAAATAAAACGCGTTGAACAGCTGCCACAACTCAAGCTTTGGCATAGCACTGCATAAAGTCTCAGAATCAGCCAAGCAGCTTATTGGTAAAGGAAGTCATTTCAATCGGCGATGGATCCTTGGTCCAAACGACTTCTATAAAAGCGTCCAAGAGTGACAATGCTGGGGGTCTGCTCCATGCAACATCTCAAAATATCTAAGATCTCTAAGTCTCCAGCATTTTTGGCACCAGAAAACATCTTTGGCCCATTTCCAGCTACACCCGTGGTGTTGACAACATCAACCTGGGAGAGCTTTCTGGCTGGATCTTTATCACACATGTCCTGTGTTTCCACTGCGGTGCTGAGAGATCGACAATTGAAACAGCGGTCAGTTGTGTCAGAAGCTCTCCTCGGCGTATTGGCCAACCAAATAGATGTGAATCACTATGAGTTGCAATTGACTCTTGACAAGTGGCCATCTTGTGGTCGTGCTTTGTACTTGCTCGCCTCAGCTTGTAGGGTCTTTTGTGGCATGAGTACGTAGGACGCAGGACAGCAACTTTTGCAACATGTGCCTCTCCAAGAGCCTAAAGAAGGGGACGGCAAAACGAAGCTGCGCTTCGCATCCATATGCATCCATTGACGCAAGTCATGAGTCGCCAAATGTGAGCAAGCCACTGCCTGTGCCTTTCCTTTCTTCCCCTTTCCCTGCAGCACATATCAAGCAAATACTTGCCTTATCAAGGCAATCATACATCATACAGTACAGTACATCAGACCCTGAACCATTCCGAACCATTCCTAATCCATGATGCGCATGATGTTGTTGATGTTTTTCCTCAAATGTTTCTTGGGAGATTGCAGCTTGCCTTGGTGCAAGAAGTGCAGCAGCCCATGGCAGATGTTTCAGGACCAAGTCGCTATCAACAAGACGTCGTGCCAGGAAGGCCTCTTGAAATTTAGATATGATGAATGATGTGTATGAACTACGGATTCAAGAGCAAGCCATAGCAAGCCATAGCAAGCCTACAGGATCCAGGATTCGAGCCCGAGACGGCCTAGGGCATGCAATATAGGTCACATTAGGTCACTATCCGGTTGCATCATCGGGTGATTGCACTAATGTCATTTCGAGGTGAGTTCGTCCCGTTTCTGCATGTTTCTAACCACTTTTTGGCTCACACGCCGGCAGCAGCAGTCAGGAGACGAGCTTTCAGCGCAGCAAGTTCTCCTCGAACCTGTGACATTGCAAAAGGTGATGGAGGGTATCTCTTGCCTAGTGACAGCCATACCTATAGAATCCTATAATATCCTATATTAGTCCGTAGGATCCTATGTAATCCTATGTATATCTATATAGTGGGTACACCCAGTCTCTGCACAAAGGAATGGTGGATAGCCCATTGGCAAAGGGAATGAAGCGTTATTGGAGGATTGAAGGAAAGGGCTTGCCACTTCTTTATCTTTTGCCCGCGTGCATTGGAAGCCGAACATTCCCAAGTTTGAGCACGTGAAACAGGGTTTCAGCTGGTTGCACCGAGTAAGCATGACACCTTTTGAGGTGCAAGTGCATCAACAGCCAGCTGCTGAAAGCCTGGAAACAAAGGCATCCGCATGACAAGTTATTTTTTTGGCACCAGGAAAGTAGACAATGCTGGAGGCAGGAGAGCAAAAACACAATTGGGCAAGCACATGCAAAGCACTCAAGAAAACACGTCAAGATTGTCACGCTCGCAAATTCTCGTCGGGTTGTTTGGATTGTTTCCCTGGTGCCCTAGCCTTGAGCTTCAGGAATCCAATGGCGTGAGGCTTCAGTCCTCAATTGTGCGCAATCGGTGCATGAGTGGTCACTGTGGATGGCAGGTGGCACCCTGGCACTGAGGATTGGCACTGTGCTTTGGCCATCAGCCCCTGCAGATTCAGAAAACGAACCAATCAAATAAACACAAAAATAAATAATCAAAATAAGACTGTCTACACCTGTGTTATGTGTGAACCATGCACATATATGCAAATAGATCTATATTAGATCTATATATATATAGTAGTGTAAGAAATAAAATTTGCAAAATCTTATATATACGGTTACGGCAGAATTCAGAATTCCATCAGGATCTCCCATTCCCCAAGGGATCCCAAGGGGCCTCGACGTTGGTTGGACCTCCGAGACCAGGAAGTCGGAACGTTGTTTTGAAGATGCCATCCTTGGTGGTCTCATGTTGTCGATCTATGCAACGCCACATGCTACACCATGCTACGCCACATTGCAATTTCAGATGTCATACCATGTCATACCTATATCTAGCCTATATCCCTTGGTTTTCAGCCGTCTCAAAGCACTTTGGCTGGATTTTCGGTGGCCACTGGTTGAGCTGCTTTTCCTCGATGGTCACCCTGCTTTGCTTGGCCAAGATTCTGCATCCACTGCATCGTAGACAGGACCCAAAGCCACTGTCACCCAGGATCCACCAGTGAACTCCTACTAGGCAACAACAAGCACAGTCTAAATATGTCTAAATATGTCTAAAGGATTCCAACTCAATCGTTGAAGGATATAAATGATATAAAGTGTGACAGTCCTGCTGCTCAACGATCCAATCGGATCGGAGCCAATGATCAATGTGCAAATCGACCCTGCTTGGTTTGTGTTGAGCCTTAGCCAGCAGGCTGCATTGCACATGGTCAACACATGGTCAACACTTCCCTCAAACATCCTCAAACTGCCACATTTCCACGGGCTCCACGTATCGCTGTGTTCAAATCTATCCCATGCGCAAAATATATTAAATTGTTTGGTTTCTGTTTTTCTGTCACTTCAGGTCGCTGCTTCACCCGTCTTCTCCGGAGCAGGCCTCGTCAAGTCGCCATTGAGATCTCTGGGGAGGAAGATTCCAATTTCTCCGTTGCTTTGCTGCAAGAATCGAACATTACAAGAGCACAAAAGCACAAAAGCAATCACGATAGTTAATAAGGTGCCCCAAAATCCGGTGGAATATTATGTTTCGATAAAACATTGGGAAAATCCATGGTAAAATCATGTAAAATCCGTTAAATTCATCATATCATCATCATATCAAATTACATCAGTGATATCGAATCGAATGAGGAGATACTGGCCTTGGAGGCTGATCACCTCTTTCAGTGCCACCTGGGGCTTAAAAAAACCGAGCTTCCGTGCTTCCGACTAATGCAGGAAAACAGCAGGATGCAGCAGGCATGCGGAATGGTCGGAATATGTCGGAACGGTATATGAAATTATGATAAATTATGATAAAATATGGACAAATGAAACAACCCAGTTGAAAAGCTTTAGCAAAATCAAATATCAGGGTGAATTCATGGTTCTTACATCACATAATGATTGATAGATAATATGATCCATATCAACATTTCTCAACTACAACAGAAATATAAGTCCGAGCAGATCAAATGTTAATATGATAATATGATAATATGATCAACATTGATCAACATTGATCAACATTGATCAACATTGATCAACATTGATCAACATTGATCAACATTGATCAACATTGATCAACATTGATCAACAAGTTCATATATACAATTTCCATTGAAGTGCCAGCCTCCTTGACCTCTCTGATCTCCCTGCAGATTTGCCAACAGCGACGAGAAGTTCATCCGACCTAGCGCCACTCGCCACTCGGGTTGCGGATCTCCCTTCCAGTCCCCTTCCTACAGGCGCTACAGGGCACTGCCACTGGCTGCTATCGCATGCCATCACTGCGTCTCCCACTTCGTTTCCCAGGAGGTTTCTCCACGTCCGACCTGCCAAGGCTGCCAAGGACCAATAAAGAATCATGAGAAATGATCAGACATGATACGACATGATAGATAGGACCCCCTAAGACCTTTGCATTGTGTATTGAATACATTGTCATTTCAAAAATCAATTAAGGACACCAGCACCTCAACACAAGTAGCACGTCATTTATAATAGACCCGAAAAGGATGCAGTAAAGGTTCAACTTCTAATTTATCATTGTTTGAATAGGATTTCACATTTAAAATCTTTTGGGGTGGATGCTATATTGTCCATGGTATCCCGTTTCGAGATACTATCCGACTGTCCGTGTTTACATATTGTTTACTGGGGATTTCCATGGATTTCCTATCTGTTCACGATATCAACACACCACGCCTTGGCCATCCGATGGCAGAGAGTACCATGTTGCCGAAGCCATTTTCTGATTCCGGCAGTGTCACCTGGTCAACTCGAAGCTTCCCAAGGAATGACCCGGACAAGATGGGAACATTGGGAAGGAGAATCATGGTGCATCTGTTTATGGCGCCCCGTCATGCATTCCTGATAAATCTGAAATCATTATCATTCAAACAGAAAAGTATTATCATATCATATCCAAACAAGTTGACTGAAAGCGAGAAAGAAGCAGCCAAGCATAGCCAAGCGAACCTCCATCCGCTCAAAGCCAAAGGACAGGCCCGAGCCCACGGCCTAGCGACGCAGCGCCGTGATCTGATAGCGATGACCCATGACATCTCATGACATCTCATGACCATCTGCAACTCAGTGGCCTTTGAAACGGCCTCTTTTGCGGACCAAATCCGTTGAAAAATGGCCTGGCAGCTGGGAGAATCGAGGAGATCAGGGAGATGAAGCAAAGACGTGATGCGTTCTGTGGATGAGAGTTCGAGGGTTCAAGGTGTTAATAGATGTGAATAGATGCAAATAACAGAAAATGTTGGAACGACTGAGCAATTCCGCACTCCCTGAGCTTGAAACGTATCGTTCTTGGTGTGTTTTTCCTCCTTTGATGCACTCCCTCTCGTTTTCAGTAAGAACAGAGGTCATGTCCTGCACAAATCTTTGCGCGTAAGTTGCAGTAAACTCTAATCACCTGACCGTCTTTACCTCTCGAACATCCATTCGATTCTGTGTTGTCACCTGTCTGAAACACTTCATTGAAAATACGGCCTGCCATCTGCAGTTCCCACAATGTGTTTGTAAGTCAGAATCATTCAGAATCAATAAAGGTCCTGAAACCAAGTTTCATCTTCATGTTCACCCCGTTCTCGCTGGGGAGCCGAGACGTCCACACCTGATACCCGAAAGCTTCACCAGTCTCGTTTTAGGGGTGTCCCCTCAATGCACCATGATACTTATCCTTTATTCATCGTTACTGGGAACTAAGTATCGGGCCTACCAAGTACAAGCAATCGCTTGCCAAAACGACCCAGCTCCCATCATGGGAGATGTTGAAGTTGAAGTTCCTTGATCAAGAGCTCATGAGCAAAGAAATCGTATATCATCGTACATCTATATATACCATGCTCAATTTCCTATGTTCCAGGGGGCACAAGAAAAACTAAGCCAGTCTCGGCAAACTGCCCGGCAAAGGTGAATGTAGGAAGGGCTTCTTGCCCTTTGTGCCTCAAATCACAGCAAATGCAAAGGGAAACACAAAGGCATGGAGCGCCCATGCATTCTTAGCCATTTGCGGCCAATTTGAATCTGGTCGTAGGCAGGGTCTCCAAGAGCCTCCAAATGATCGCTCCAACTTCCTTCTGTTCTGAAATCGGTGATCATCACAGGAATGATATGTCTGGCAGCTCTCAATAAGAAAATTTGCACTTGAAGAAAGTTCCAGCAAAAGGTTGCGAAGTTTTCTACATGTAAAGGATAAGGCAACTTAGAATGCTGTAATTCTTGAAGCGACAGATCGGACCTGCGCGCAAGCTCGTAGAGACAATAAACGGCCAATCAACGTTCTCTTCTTGTCTGGCCTACACTCCCAGAACAATCGAATTGTGTCAACTGGCACTGCAATTCAAGAAATGACTTTGAATCAATATAGACAACTTGCAACTTGATCGAAGCAGCATCTTGTCTTAGGCATGGGCAGAGCCCGGTACTGCATCACCTGTTCTTGTTCTTCGAAAGGAAGAAGCGATAGCCTGGATGGTTGCCCCAAACAACACCCCTAAACATCAAACCAAAGGCCCATGGTCCACCATGGTCCAGCATGGTCCTGTCTCAGCCGTAGGTCTGAGTTTCCTGCAGCATTTTGAATTCTTCTCCTTCTGCACCTCCCTGGGGCATCCAGCGGCCAACATTCACGGCCCAGCGGAAACCTGGACCGAGATGGGCGGCATTTTCCGAACAGATTTACAACAGATTTGCAAAAACCAATATCGAAGCACCTTCTTGGAACATCTTGGAACTACTGCAATTTTGAATTCCTGGTTGTACCATGTTGTACCAGGGTGTCATAGGGCATCATGGTACAACAAAAGCAGAAGCTGAAAAGTGACGTCACGTCACATTGGGGATCTGGCGAGCGCATGATGAGCCGCCCCAAAACGAGTCTGGTGCCTTCCGGCTTCACCCATATGTGGGTGCACATCCCCCAAAGTACACAAAAAATGGCTGAAAGGCAGGTCTATGGCTTATGATGCTTATGGCAAGCTTATGCCCCAGCATAGTGCGCTTTGCGTACCCAGTATTACCCAGTGCCACCACCCAAAAGACCAACTCTACTCCTGACCAGCAAAAGTCTATCAATTTATCACACTATGCACATTGCAAAATCCCTGCAATCTGCAGCAGCTTGTGTCCCAATCATCCAGGCTTTCAATCTGCATTTCCACTTCCATGGCATCCGATCAGCCTCCAAAGTGTACTGCTCGAGTTCAGCTAAAAGCTCTTCGGCCAGGGGCACCGAAAGCCATGCACCGGAGACATTTTGCCCCATGGGGCGCAGCGCACAGCCAGAAAAGAAATCAATGTGCTGATCCAAAGTCAGCAACCCCCAAGCTGTGCGTGCACATGTGCACATGAGTCGTGAAGTCTGGTATTTCTGTGCTCAAATTGTTCATTGAGCTGGAATTGTGCAAGCCTTGTTGCTGCTTGTTTTGCTATGAATCTCTTAGACCCTGTTGAACCTGCAGTCGTTGTGGTGTCGAAGGTGTTGAGGACAAATGACAAATGCATAGGAAAGCACCACATGGTGTAAAGATTGGTGCAGAACGATCACAACTCCACAGTCCACAATGCGTGAGTTTTCTTCCCATGCGTTGCCAGTGACAAATTCGCACTGTCAAACGTTGCAGATTGCGGATGGCAGTCCGTTACAAACTTTACAAGGCGACTGCAGACCGCTCAAGAGACTTGACTCGAGCCAAGTTGCATGCATGGGAGGCTACGTGGCACACCATGGTCACCATGTAGTAGGTGAGACTTGGTGAGACTCACAGCCTCCGACTTGTACAAAAACAATTGTTCTTTTGCTGCGACATCTTTGGAGGTCTTTCTCGTGCTGGGGTTTTTAAGTAGAGCAAAAATGCTGTATACGCCGTAGACATTGTCCGCCTTGCGGCTTCAGCCTTATCTGACTTATACATCTGATTTATCAGGGAGCGTATTTACGGGCATCTTGAGCATGACCTCCTGATGATGTATTTTTCTGTATGAGCAATTTCGAACGAGACACCTGCAGAAGGTGCAAATATCAAACTCTCTCTCTCTCTCCTTCTCTCCTGTGGGCTATGCATTCTAAAGAAATGCAATTTCAAAACATACATACGCAATCTGCACCAACGCAACGCAACGCAACAGCTTGAAGAGTCTTAGACTGAATCTGCTGCTGCACTGTACAGAGATGCTATCCAGTGTAGATCATGCAGCTGTAGGGGTGCAAGAACCTAAGTGTCAACTTATTGTCAACAGCAGAATGGCGGAGTGGCAGGTTTTCAGAAAGTAACACTTCTAAGTCTAAGTCACTGCGACCACTACACCAAGACCCCTGGCAGGGACTCGACAGTGCCGCAACACCATCCGGTTTCGGACTATCAACCGAATATAACATCCAGATACATCCAGTACTATAACAGAACACTACAGTACTGTACTGAGAGTACTGTGATCTGCTCTTTTTCCCTCATTCTTTCGGGTGTTTCTGGACCATGAATCACCATGGCAGATGTAGCAGCTCCACTGTCCATGCACATAGAATAGAACAAGAATATGAATCGAATCATAATGATCATAATGTCATAATAATAATTATGCAATATCTAAGATCTATATATATATATCTATATATCACATAGTATCACCATGACATGAAATGCGATTGAGGCAATACACACCACATCATACCACGCTTCAACATGCGGTCGCCGAGCCACATGCCTTGTGCATCCGCGGCCTGGAGCAGCTTAGAATCCGGTCGCTTCGTGTCGCGGTCGTCGTTCTGAAAGACGGTGGCGCTGTTGTAGTACTGGGCGTCTGCCGTGTTGATCACCAGCTTCCACTCCTCGAAGTCTGGGAAGTCTGCAGGGTAATTGGCCAGTGCCTGTCTTCGGAAATTGAAGATGGCAAAAACGCTGCCTCCCGCTGAAGACCGGTGAATGGTCAAAACTTTGTTCTCCTCATCTGCAGAGACATTGACGTCACCTCCAAGGAGACCTTGGTTTGTTGTTCGTAATCCGATCAAGTCTCGATGCAGTTTCAGAGTTCCTTGATGCGTTGTCTTTTTAAGCCAATCCATTGGATGATGTGCAGAGAATGGGTCCTGTAATGCAAACTCTTGACCTTGGAAAAGCAGCGGAATTCCAGGGCTCAGCATAACAAGAGCAGTTCCCATGGCGGCCAGCCGCGTTCCAACCCAGGAATTTCGTCGACCGGAGATCGCAACGGCCAAGCGAAAGCGCCCGGCTTCGTCATGGCTCTCCACGTAGACCGTGCGACGAAGACCTCCGCCGAGATCAGCCAAAATCGCATCCTTCAGATCGCTCATCTTTCGGCCTTCGTCCGATCGCTTCAAGCTGTTCAGCACCTTCCAATGAAATAAACCGTCCCATTGGCTGTGAAAACCTAAACCATTGGCTTCAAGTGGCTCTGTGAGTGAAATGTTTCCCTGCAAATCTTCGGCGATCAAGATCTTTCCAGTTTGGCTCACTGCCGCAGAGAGTTCCTTTAAGAACAATTCTCCCTCTGGATTGAATGTCGCACTACTTCGATTGGTTTCTGTTCCACCCCACAGCCGGATGAAGCTCACACCATCCACCCGAAGTCCATCACAATGCATGGTGTTGAGCCAATAGAGAGCACTGTCAATCAAATAGCGCCGAACCGCTTCCACTCCGTAGTTGGGCCGAGTGTGCGCCCAAGGAGTCTCGGCCCGGCCGTCGTTGTAGAAATATGTCCCACCAAGGCCATTCTTGGACCATCCATCGAATTGCCATAACGGTAAGTCCATTGGACCCAGGTGGTTGTAAACGACATCCAGAAGAACTGCAATTCCCTTTTGATGGCATGCGTTCACAAATCTCTTGAAAGCATCTGGTCCTCCATAAGACTCCTCTACTGCGAAAGGATATGCCTTAGAAGAAGGAAAAATCAAGCAATTCTACTAAGTAGATGCCCAAAGCCTCTCTACTTAAGCTACTTTAACTGTTGAAAACTTGAAACAGGCACATGGATTCTTTTCTGCACGAAGCTTCTTCGAGTGTTGAATGCGAGACATTGAAAGAATCAGCATCATGAGTGTTCGTTTCCGCCTGCAGGTTGGGTCGTATTGTTTCCGCTTTCTTTGAGAGAAAAATCACAAACATCTCAATCATGTTCTCATATCCCAAAAATCTATCATTAAGCATCACTGAATCAATTGACATGGACAATCTCAACTTGCAACCATGTTGCAGTCGTGTACCCCCAGTCGACACTGCCATCAAACTCTGCAACTGGCAAGAGTTCTATGGCATTGATGCCCAAATCCACAAGATAGTCCAGCTTTTGAATGCACATATCAAGAGTCGCGCTGCCTGTCCAACCAAGATATGCGCAAAAGGTCCCCACGTGAAGTTCATAGATCACTAGTTTGTTCCATTCAGGCATTGACCATCCAGCATCAGACCATTGGAATTTCTCATCAAAATAAGTCAAGGAGTTTCCAAGTGGCGTTCCATCTTGCTTGCGAGACCATGGATCAGGCCGCCAGTATGATTCACCGTTTTCGGAGACAATAAAGATCTTGTAGGCAGATCCGACTTGGAAAAGGTAGTCTCTGGTAGGTTCACTGGAGATGTTGAGTTCCCACCACCCGTTCCCTGTATTTAAAAGATTGTGCATTGGAATCCAAGCACTCCATGCTGCTGCCACAGAGACTTGCGTCGCATGTGGGGCATAGATCTTCACAAAAGCACCACCAGAGGGCAGAGGCTGGAATCCCGCACCATGACGGGCATAGCAAAACTTCACATGAAACCTGGACAGCTGTGAGTTCAAACATGTTGGAACCAACTACACACATGGTAAAACTCAGACACTTTAGAAACCTGAGGCATGAAAATGAATGGAACGTGGTAGCACTCTGGAACAAAACCAAGGGGAGAGCTGCCAACTTGATGATGCAGGCAAGTTGCAACACCACCAGCTGAAGCAATCTCCGCATGTCAGTCCTAGGATTGTGGCAGAAACACGTCCTTTGCGTGCTTGAGCCTGATAGGGCAAGTGTGCGGAGAGGCACAAAACGAGGCACAGTGCTCTTGCCACAATTGTCTCACTGATCTCACTGGCTCGGAAAACTCCATGCAAAAAGATTTGCTCTCATTCTACTCAGCATCTAGCAGCAAGTTGATAAAAGACGTAAGTGCAATGAAGTATGCCCTGATCTATCCTATCTAGTTTCCTGCTATTTCTCCCACACCCACTACAATCTTCCCCTTGTGATAGGCAATCTTCGCACCGTTTTGCTCGCTATGAAAGCCTGGTGACTTTGCTGGCTGAGTCGCCTGACCTTCGTCTCTTCAGCAGGTTGTCACGGTCCAAGGCTTTGAGGGCGCCAGCGGCACCTTCAGAGCCCTTCTTGCTGCAAGATGAGACACGCTCATCGTCATCTCTGGCGTCTTTGGCATCTGTGGTGTCTTTAAGTTTTGATTTTCTCTTATTGGTGGTGGGACCGGTGGGACCGGTGGGACCGGTGGGACCGGTGGTACGAGTGACACCAGTGGCACCAGTGGCAGTGGATCTGCTTTGTTCACTCACTTTGGAAAGATTACTGCCCACACGGCCCACACGCGACTTCAAGCCTCCAGGCCCCAGAAGACCCAGTGGCCCAATGCCGCCGCCAGGCCCCATAGCTGCCATAGCTCCCATGGTCTCATTGGCTGCACGAATCTCTCGGTAAAGACGAATGTTCTCCTCACCAAAGACATAAAGCACACGCTCCTGCATCTGCCCCGTTTTGCTCAAGGATATGGTGACGATTTTCAGCATTTTCACTTTTCCCACTTTTCCAGTTGCTGCATCCTTTTTGGCAGGTCCTGCACTCTCAACTGGTTTCGTAGGCATTGCTGCGGCTGTAGATGCTGCAGACGCTGCAGATGCTGCATGTGCTTCATCCGTACCAAGTTGCCTCCTCAAACGTTGCATCTCCATCTTGTCATCTTCTCCTTCACTGTGCGGAGTGAATGTGATGGCATTGGCACCACCATCTTTCTCCGGGGAGTCTTCCAAAGCCTCAATAAGAGCAGCTTCATCATCTGGGTTGACTGATCTGCTTGGTTCAAGCTCATTGGCCTGATCACCAGCCCCTGTGGAGTGATCCTCGGTCAGTTGGTGACTTAAAGCCATGAGTTGTCGCTGGAAAGCCTCTTGGAGAAGTTGTCCGTGTTTCTTCTTGAGCTCAGAAGCCGTTTGCTTTGCCAGTGGAAGGGTTGCTCTGCTCCAACCAGTGACGAAGCAATCAGAGTTTTTCTCCAACTCTGCACCAAGTTTGGTGCAAAGGAGAGCTATACGATCCCATCTGCTAAGCGGCTCGAAGCTGTCTTCACTTACTCCAAGCTGCGTGAGTCTTGCTGCAATGTCTTGGTCAGCTCCAACACATAGCTTTGAAAGTGCCAAACACTCGGCTGTGTACTTCACCAAAACAGGCAAGAAGCTGACTCCTTCCAGGCGTCCATTGCTTGGATCGCCTGGACCTGCAATGGCGAGCAAGCTCCCCTTTTTGATGAAACTGGCATATCTGTTCGACAAGTTCCATGGGGTGATCTGCAGTTGTTCTAAAATCCACCTGCTTCGCAGAATTTGGAGGTTAGCACAAAGGTTATCACTGCCACTCTTGCGACGCTCCAAGAGCTCTAAATCTTGCAGCGCTTTCGTGAGGGTAGAATCAGCCTGGTACAGGTTGTCAATCCCAAGGATCTGGAGCCTCTCTTCCCCTCTGCGCATAGCTTCCAAAAGGCACACCGCTTCGCACAAATCGCAGGTTTGATCAACTTTCTTCAGCTCCTTCAATTCGGTCTGCAGAAGTGGACCCTGATCTGGAAACCATTGCAGGACACTCTTAGAAACATCCTTGGCCATGGCCTTGTGAATTTGATTTTCATCTCCATCTTCAAGTTCTCCACTGAAGTCCTTCTGCCATCTGTGCTGCACTTCACGCAGCATGTGACGGATACAGCTGGAACGCAGGTTCTTGGACTCTGAACTCGGTGCCGGGACTAAACGGCTTGGCTCCACCTGACCCACCACACAAGCCAAAGACAAGGGGCGCAAATGCAACTGGCCATGCAACTCCGCAGCTTCGTTTCCTCTGTCTCCGTTCTGGTTCTCATTGCGATTTCGGTTCCACACCAACAAGAATCGGTTGCCCTTTATATTGTGAGAGACAAGGGGAGCTTGAAGTACAGGACAGTCCATTACAGCCACCCCTTGACCTGGTTTGAGATGAATCTGGGAAGCCAAGAGGTGTGGCAAAGGGCCATTAATTTGGATGGGAGTCTTGGACTGTAAGGGCCCAAGAGGTTCGCCCTCATACGACTTCTTGCGAGGCAGAAAGTAACTGAGAACCTCATGGCCCATGCCTGCGTTCATCATTAAGGTTGGATTCTCTTCAATGTATTCATAGAGGACGAAAGGCTGCCCAGAACTCAAGGACAGTTCCTGTGCAGTTGGCGGCACCTTTCCGGACCATCTCTTTTTGCTCAAAGGTGGCAGGACTGCTGCAGTGATTCGCTGTGGCTTTGATTTTACCTTTCTCTTCAAAGGTTGAACAACTCTTCCCCAAAGATGTCGGGTAATTTCGCTATGCACTAAGCGCTTCCGTTTCTCAGGAGCATGCGGACCGGAAGGAAGTGACACACTGGTGCCTTTGGCTGCACCACCAGCACCAGCACCACGGCCGAAGACGGACTCCATGGACTCCGTTTGACCCAGCTTCTCATAACGCGAAAGCTTTGGCGGTGAGGAAGCCCAAGCCACAGAAGAGAAATCTGTGCTGAAGCCGCTGAAGGGGGGCTGTAAAATCTCCCAAATTTGCCGGTAACGCTTGGCATAGGGCTCTGATCCAAAAATGTCCTCACTTCGGTCGCACTTGTCATGCTTGCGCTTGCCACGTGAGTCAGACTGGCCCTCCATGCTGGGAAATTTGGGCAAACCAATACCTTCCAAAAGAATGTCACGGAAGTCTGGCATGCGGAAGAGAGTCTTCAGCACACCTCAGCTGAGGCTGGGCTATCCATGCTGTTCAACTGGCAAAATTCTACTCGGCAAGAATGCTCACAGTGGAATTGGAAGCAAACCCTCAAAGTGTGAAGCAAACCAGAAGGCCCAGCATGACAATAACATCCTGAGATCCCCAGGCGGCACGTAAGGCCATAAGCCAAACTAGCCAAACAGTTGGCAAAGTAAATCATAATTGGAAATCAAAGCTGTCAAGGCTCACTCGCTTTCTCCAGCATCTCCTAGAGCAGCACAAGGGTCCCACATGAAACCTCCTTTTGTGTTGGCCAGAGACATGTGAGGTCCCAACCTTTAAGCGGCACAGCAACAAATCCCCATGTCGACTGATTTCGGATGCTCTTGAATCAAAAATTAGTGTTTGATACTGACTAATACTTATTAATAAATAGATATAAATAGATATAAATAGTAGAACCGAGTGTTTCATGATTATCATTTAACCAGGTAACCATATTTAACCATTGCTTAATAGCAATATAATGCCGCCCCAACTCATCCCCGATCCTTCACCACCAGATCGGGGCAGCTCTGCTGGCGATGTCTGTTGGGATGGCCACAAAAGTCTTAGAAGAGCAGAAGAACCTCAAAGATTTTGGGATTCTGTTGAGATTCTGTTGGGATTCTGACTGTCATTCCATTGTGCAATTGGTTGTGTTTGGAAACGAGTTTGAATCTCAATTGGCGCACCCAAAGGATCCTGGATCTTGTGCCTTTACAAAATCTGATGAAGTTGTACTATTATTATACCAACATAGCTCTTTTTTCTGCGCAAGTATATGCAAGCAAATTCAAGCCTAAATCTGGTATAGAATGAAAGCACACTCACGGCACACTCAGCCAGTGCAGTGACAGCAGCATCACAGCCAAGAGCCACAAGCAGCATCCGCAGAATCCACAATCCACAGAGGTACAAACTGTTAACTCTATCTACTGAATCTAGTGGGTATAGGGATAGATTCTGGTAATATGTGAAGGAAGAACCCCAACTTCAACATTGGCGCTGGGGCCCCAGGCCTGGGTCTTCAAGCGGTACATCCAAAGGCTTTGGACTTGGAGCTGCTGTCTTCATTGGGACAACTTTGGGAGCCTGAGGAAGGACAGTGGGGGCACCACATGCCAAAGAAAACCCAGTTGGAAAAACGAAGAGTTTCCACAACTTGGCTCTGTCACGCCTCAGCCTCTGCAAAGATGCTCATGGGCGTGGGAGGCGCAACGGCACCTGCATGTCAATTTATCCAAATTTATCAAGCACAGAAGCCCCGTCAAATGCGAAACATGTTTTGCCTGTTTGGCATAAGATTTGGCGAACGATAAGAAGTGTAGCAGTTAATGAAGTTAATGTTTGAAACTTTCTTGCCTTGACATAGGCAAAACCAACCTAAAGCGCACCACATCCTGTCTATTGCAACCCCTTCAGCCTCCAGGCTCGGCTTTAGGCTGAGGCGTAGGTAGCAATGCTTCTGACAGTGGCTGCCACATAGGGGATGCCATCGGTGTCATGGAGGGCGTGGCGCCACCCAGTGCTGGGGTGAACCTGGGCGAAGTCATCGGCTTCGAACGCGGAGATTCGCTGGGCGTGGGCGTTGGTGGCACCTCCAGCATTGGCGACGGCAAAGGCGTCACCGCCGGCGAAGGCTGCGGCGCACGCGCCGGGGACGCAGGATCTGCGGGCTCCGGCAGCTCCAAACTCTCCAAAGTGTCCAAGTGCTCCAAGCCTTGCTGATTGCGGCCACTGCATGCACCTCGTTCACCGCCTTCTGTGCGCGGTTCACCCTCTGATGGAGTATCAAATTCTTCTTCAAATGGCGGTGACTTTGGCTTTGGCACGTCGCTTAAGCCAGGGGTGGCATTTTGAAGGAGCCCTCTGCCCAGGCCAATGCTTTCGAGCACATGCTCCTGCCAGTTTTTGGAGAAAGCATTCCTAAATTCCGGGTTGGGACCTGGCCACTGGTTTTGGTGCTGTTGGATCATGAGGAGCTCATGCCAAGGGCTGCCAAGCACTGTCAAGCAAACCACATGGTTTTGCACTTCGAAGGCTTGTTAGACCATTGCTACATGGTGGCAAAGTTGATTGACACAGCGACGCAGTGTTGGATCGCGTTTACGGTCTCATTCTGTTGTTTTGCTCATGTTTCTCTCATAGGACTCATATGGCACGAAATGCAACCTATGATTCAGCAATGAAAACCATGGGCATGAAAATGACACCATGATGAGGAGTTGGCTCTTGATTCTTCAGTCAGACTCACCAACATCGCATGTTTGACTGAAAAGGGAGCAAGCAACACTGAGAGAGTCCAACAAAGCAATCCACTGAGAGCATCTGTCGCAGTCTTCTCGCTGCATGCACACTGCAAGTCACAGCAGCCACCACCGGGTCGGAACCACTTTTTCTGAAAGCCGAAGGCAGCAAGCATCGCAAGCTCTTTGGCATCCCGTGAAGTTTTGACTCCTGCAAGCCTGTCAGACAGTCATCCAAACTTGGGTACAAACAGCACTTGTTAATAGAAATATGGTTCGACTTGCTGCACCGCTACCACATTCACGGTCACATCACGTCACAACGCGACATGTTCATGGTTCATCTTGCAGCGAAAGAAACTACAGTATACAATAGATTTTGACAAACAAAAAAACGTGAAGACACATTCATTCAGATTCAGTGGGTCAAAATGCGGCATGTCTGATGCAGGCATTGGTGGCACGGTCATACAACTACAGCAGGTCAAATAGTTAGTGCATTCTAAAATAAAAATTTGATATACTATACCGTCGTGTTATGCGGTATGCAACAACATGAAATGACATAACCCAACATGTTACAAATATAAATATAATGTAACAAAATGCAACAGACTGAAATGTAAAAAAAAACGCTCAATTTAATAAACAAAACAGGACATAAGAAACCGTCATGAAACTTAGAAAAACATAAAATCACATAACATGATCTAAAGTGATTTAATGCAGCATCACAACCAAAGATCATGCGCAAAACGTACGAAATAAAAATGTAAAATGCGAAATCAAGAATTCGTTTTTTTAACCTGTAATATATATATATATATTAATCAGCTTAATATGCAGCACCGTCATATCAAAAAGCGAAGTTGATCAAATATGATGAATCAGTCTTTGGGAAAACAAATTCATAAAATGAAAAATAAAAAATAGCATAAAATAGCATATCCGGGGCGGCGCCTGGGATCACCGCAGGTGTGCGACATTGGCTGTGGCCTGGCCACGTCTGTTGGCAACCACGTCTGTTGCCTGCAGCTTCCGTCTTTGCCGCACCTGCTTTTGCCACATTCCTGGCTGTGCCTGTCGCCTAAGCCTCTCCAGCTTCCACACTTTGCCCTTTCCTGGCAACATCTGTTGCCAAATGGTGTTTGCATGGCGCTTCGAAAGTGCCGGATGGCATCTTTCGCCCGGGACTGAAAAACCGCCCTGCAGCTCCCACCCTTTGCCCTTTTCCTGGCCACGTCTGTCGTCAAATGCTGTTCTATGGCATTTCGAAACTGCCGGATGGCATCTTTCACCTGGGCCTGAAAAGCCCTTGCAGCTTCCATCTTTGCCGCACCTGCTTTTTGCCACATTCCTGGCCACGCCTGCCGCCTAAGCCTCTCCAGCTTCCACACGTTGCCCTTTCCGGGCAACGTCTGTTGCCAAATGGTGTTTGCATGGCGCTTCGAAAGTGCCGGATGGCATCTTTCGCCTAGGGACTGAAAAAACGCCCTGCAGCTCCCACCCTTTGCCCTTTTCCTGGCCACGTCTGTTGCCAAATGGTGTTTCTATGGCATTTCGAAACTGCCGGATGGCATCTTTCACCTGGGCCTGAAAAACCCTTGCAGCTTCCATCTTTGCCGCACCTGCTTTTGCCACATTCCTGGCCACGCCTGCCGCCTAAGCCTCTCCAGCTTCCACACTTTGCCCTTTCCTGGCAACGTCTGTTGCCAAATGGTGTTTGCATGGCGCTTCGAAAGTGCCGGATGGCATCTTTCGCCTAGGGACTGAAAAACCGCCCTGCAGCTCCCACCCTTTGCCCTTTTCCTGGCCACGTCTGTTGTCAAATGGTGTTCTATGGCTATGGCATTTCGAAACTGCCGGATGGCATCTTTCACCTGGGCCTGAAAAACCCTTGCAGCTTCCACCTTTTGCCGCGCCTGCTTTTGCCACATTCCTGGCCATGCCTGTCGCCTAAACCTCTCCAGCTCTCACCCTTTGCCCCATCCTGGCCACGTCTGTTGCTAAATCAGGGCCTGAAAACCCCCCTGCAGCTTCCACCCTTCACTGCACCTGCTTTTGCCACGTTCCTGCCCACGCCTGTCGCCGGCGTTTCGAAACTGCCGGATTGCATCTTTCACCCGGGCCTGAAAAGCTCCCCTGCAGCCCCCACCCTTTGCCGCACCTGCTTTTGCCGCAGTCCTGGCACCTGGCATGCCTGATGCCACATGGAATTTCTATCTCGTTTCGAACCTGCCGGATGCATCTTTCACCCGGGCCTTCGCTGCAGCTTCCAGCCTTTGCCGCACCTGCTTTTGCCACGTTCCTGCCCATGCCTGTCGCCTATAAGCCTCTCCAGCTTCCACCCTTTGAATTCTCCATTTTCCTGTTGCCAAATAGAGTTTCTATCATGTTCCGAAGCCGGATGGCATCTTTCACCCGGGCCTGAAAAACACCCTTGCAGCTTCCACCCTTTGCCGCGCCTGCTTTTGCCACATTCCTGGCCATGCCTAAGCCTATCCAGCTCTCACCCTTTGCCTTGCCCTAGCCACGCCTGTTGCCATTCGAAACTGCTGGATGGCATCTTTCACCAGGGCCTGAAAAACCCCCCTGCAACTTCCACCCCTGCAGCTCTCAGCCTTTGCCGCACCTGCTTTGGCCACGTTCCTGGCCACCCCTCCAGCTTCCACCCTTTGCCCTTTTCCTGGCCACGTCTGTTGCCAAATGGTGTTTCTATGGCGTTTCGAAACTGCCGGATGGCATCTTTCACCTGGGCCTGAAAAACCCTTGCAGCTTCCACCTTTTGACGCGCCTGCTTTTGCCACATTCCTGGCCGTGCCTGCCGCCTAAGCCTCTCCAGCTTCCACCCTTTGCGGCTCACTGAATTTCTATTGGGTCAATGGCCACAGCCATTCACAAACCAAGCCCTTTTCGTCTTCACCCACCATTGAAAGCAAAGAAACCAATCCCACTACCCAAATATGTATGGCCCCATCTTCTATTCATGTTGAAACAGCGACAGAATCACTAGAAATGAAAGGACCGGACAACCCCACAAGGCAACTTCTTCCAATAATGAGCACCAAATGTTGTAGCCGGGACGGGGAAGGAAGGAAAGACAAAGGAGGTGGTGGAGGATCGAGAAGTAAAACAAAGTTGTATGTGACAAAGCTGTATGTGAAAGATGGTGCGTGACAAAGAAAGATCGTGTGTGTGTGACAAAGCTGTGTGTGAAAGAAGGTGTGTGTGAAAGTTGTGTGTGAAAGAGAGCGTGTGACAAGCTGTGTGTGAAAGATGGTGTGTGACAAAGCGGTGTGTGAAAGATGGTGTGGTGAAAGATGGTGTGCGACAAAGTCGTGTGTTGGTGAAAGATGGTGTGTGACAAAGCGGTGTGTGAAGGATGGTGTGGTGAAAGATGGTGTGAGACAAAGTGGTGTGTGAAAGATGGTCTGTGACGGTGTGTGAAAGATGGTGTGCGACAAAGTAGTGTGAAAGATGGTGTGTCAAAGATGGTGTGTGAAAGATGGCGTGTGACAAAGTGGTGTGTGAAAGATGGTGTGTGACAAAGTGGTGTGAAAGATGGTGTGTCAAAGATGGTGTGTCAAAGATGGTGTGTCAAAGATGGTGTGTCAAAGGGGTGTGTGAAAGATGGTGTGTGACAAAGATGGTGTGTGACAAAGCTGAGGGTCAAAGATGGTGTGTGACAAAGTTGTGTGTGAAAGATGATGTGTCAAACATGGTGGGTGACAAAGCGGTGTGTGAAAGATGGTGTGTGACAAAGCGGTGTGTGAAAGATGGTGTGTTAAAGATGGTGTGTGACATAGTGGTGTGAAAGATGGTGTGTCAAAGATGGTGTGTGACAAAGTCGTGTCTCAAAGATGGTGCGTGAAAGATGGTGTGTGACAAAGCTGTGTGTGAAAGATGGTGTGTCAAAGCTGGTGGGTGACAATGTGGTGTGTGAAAGATGGTGTGTGACAAAGTTGGGTGCGAAAGCGGGTGTGTGAAAGATAGTGTGTGAAAGATGCTGTGTGGCAAAGATGGTGTGTGACAAAGAGAGGGCCTGTGACACCAGGGCCAGCCTACCATAAGTGCCACGCCTGCCACGCAAGACGAAGGTGGATGTGACCAAGCGCCACGCCTGCCATGCGAAACGAAGGTGGATGTCACCAAGTGCCACACCTGCCACACAAAGTTGGGAAGCGTCACCGGCGACCAGGCGCGCCCAAAGGCGCCACCAGAGCCAGCCCAGTGCCATAAGTGCCACACCTGCCACGCAAAACGAAGGTGGATGTGACCAAGTGCCACACCTGCCACGCAAAACGAAGGTGGATGTCGCCAAGTGCCACCCAAGCGCGCCACCAGAGCCAGCCCAGCGCCATAAGTGCCACGCCTGCCACGCAAACAATAGTGGATGTGACCAAGTGCCACGCCTGCCACCCGAAACGAAGGTGGATGTCGCCAAGCGCCACACCTGCCACGCAAAGTTGGGCGGCGTCACCGGCGACCAAGCGCGCCCAAACGCGCCACCAGAGCCAGCCCAGTGCCATAAGTGCCACGCCCTCCACGCAAAACGAAGGTGGATGTGACCAAGTGCCACGTCTGTCAGACGAAACGAAGGCGATGTCGAGGTGGATGTGACCAGACGGTGTGTGAAAGACGGTGGTTGACAAAGATGTGTGTGACAGATGGTGTGTGACAAAGATGTGTGTGAGAGATCGTGGTTGACAAAGATGTGTGTGAAAGATGATGGTTGGCAAAGATGAGTGTGAAAGATGGTTTGTGAAAGACGGTGGTTTACAAGGATGAGTGTGACAGATGGTGTGTGACAAAGATGTGTGTGAGAGATGGTGGTTGAGAAAGATGCGTGTGAAAGATGGTGGTTGACAAAGTTGTGTGTGAAAGATGGTGTGTGACAAAGTTGTGTGTGTGTGAATGAAAGATGGTGTGTGACAAAGTTTTGTGTGATGGAGGAGGCGGAGGAGGCGGAGGAGGCGGAGGAGGAGGATCCGGCGGCGGAGGCGGCGAGATAAAGAATCAAAAACAAGAACCCCACACAAAGATGTGGGGAAATAACTATGGGACAAATGACAAATATGGAAAAGTGTGGCATAACCATGGCCCTCAAAAAGGGGTTCGGCGGCACCAGGGCGTTAGCCCATTTATAATAAAACAAATAAGATATATGTCAGATATATGCATCAGAATAGCACGCAATTAAGATAAATCACCTCAATCAAGTTCAGGCAAGAGACATCCAAGTCGGGACAAATGCAGGCAGTCTCGGGCAGCAGTTCTCAGCACGAAAGTGTAAAAACCAGGTGGGCGGAGCAGTTTACCAGGACACAGCATCGTCTTGCGCGACCGTCGCAAGCGATTCGCAACACTCCAAAAAACCTGCTAGACGCCAGGGTTTACGTTAGTTGCGAAATCGATGGGGGGCAGCACTTCAAAAGCGTTTTTTTAATAACCCGACAAGCGCAATACTTTGGAGCTCTCGGACAATCATGTTGTTACCCTCTAATGATCTAATGCTGGTTTCCTGAAATTAAATAGCTGCTCAGCAAGACGTCACGTGAAGACATGCATCTCCTGGAAGGATGCTGCGGCGGTCAATTCCTCAAATCTCGAATTTGTCCAGTAAAAACGTTTGAAAGCGCCGACTTTGCCGAACCACTTCAGACTGGGCGAGCCTCCGCGGCAGCACTTGCAGCACTTCCAAATGAAAACAGACCTCACTGTGGTTCAAGTGTGGCTCAAATCTGTTTCACGTGTTTGGTGCGCTTGGTGCTGACTGCATCAGCACGTTCAGCACGTTTCATCCGCCGAGTCGCAATCCTGCGGCATTCCCCTCGTGCAGGCTGCGACCCTCTAAGCGCCGGCCGCAAATTCCCACAACCCCGAGCTCCTGCCAGCTGCATGTTTTTGGTGAAGTCAAGGGATCAAAGCGCAAATAGTCTTAATATGTTGTTCTACCGAAAAACCATTGGCACTGGGGAAGGATCAAAACAAACACATCGTCAGCTCTGCCACCTGAAAAGCCACTTGCAAATGCTGCAAAATCAAAGGCCACCTGCCCAAGGATAAAAGCAAGGGCAATTTCAATGATTTCAATTCCTTTCCCTCCGACTCTTTGAATCACCCATCTGTTTACGCTCTGAAGGCTGCTTGTTATTGAGCACAGGTCGAAGTCGCATAAGAATTTCTGCGCAGGTGAATCCTTTTGGGGATCTGTTCTCAAATCCCTGCGCTCTTTGCTCCGAGATCTTGTTGCTCTCGGAGGGTGACACTGTGAAACACTTGGAGTGAAGCGCTTGAAGAAGAGCTTCATACCAGTAGGAAAACGATGCCATTGTCGGTTTCAGTGCTGAGGAACTGGGTTTATTTGACCTGGGCTATTGACGGCTATTGTCGGAGACACTCATAATTTATCAAAAAGTGACTGCAAAATGTCTTCATTTGCATCTGGGCTGCATCCACATCACGACCAAAAATGTCGCGACTCACCTGCAAAAAAGTCACAACTACCCACAAGAAGTCCTCCAAATCACGCGAGAAAAACCGAAATTGTTTTCCAACGTCCTTGCCAGCCTCATCAGTTTTCATCGGATGGCACTTGCCATAGAAGTTCTCAAGGTGATCCACCTCTTCCGCTGCCTCACGCAGTTACGGAGTTCATTTGGAATCGAATTGACACTTTCAATATCTTTCAATGATCAAGTTGGCAGTCCATGTGGGTGCCAGGCATCTCCTCACACACCAAATATATAAACTGAATATTAGGAATGTTGTTGTTTTTTGTGTGCGTGTACATACATCAGCACCGTAGATATGCACACAAGTCATACAGGCTTCGTGATGATCGAAGGAAGTTTAGGAGTCAAACTTCCGACAACATGGAGGGATGGAAAAGCAGAGGTCGGAAGAGTCAGAGAAGAGAAGAGAAAAAAGAAGATCAGATAAGAGAAAGAGTGAGAGGAAAGGAGATTGAAAAGGTAGTCAGGTCGCAAAACACTCTGTTTTTCCAGTTATTTGTGGCTCCGAAGGGTCGAAAAGTAGGCTCGCTAAAGCGGCGGGTGCGGAGCCATCTGGGGAGATGAGAAATGAAAAATTGCACGCCGTCAAAAGTGTAAAAAACTGACGGTCTCAGACCACTTTTGGAAGTTAAAAAGATGAAAAAGTGCACGCCGTTGTGGCGCGAAGCACGTTTGCAAGTTACCTAGTAAAAAGCTAAAAACACCTCAGTGTCGGACTACTTTTGGAAGTTGACATGTCGAAAAAGTGGGCGCCGCTGTGGCGCGAAGCACATTTCGAAGTCAAAATCTACAAAACACACCAGCTTCGATGCACTTTTGGAAGTTGAGATGTCGAGAAAGTGTACACCGCTGTGGCGCGAAGCACATGTCAAAGTCTAAAGTGCGACGTTCAGATGTCGTGTCGCGTGGCAGGCGCAAGGGATTTTGCGCAGGCACCAGGGATTCTGCACCCTGCCAAAAGTAAGCAAAACGTGAAGGTTTTGTAGCATTTCCAAAAACGATGGCAGGCGTGGGACATTTCAAGAGGATCGACAAAAATTCATTTCGCGTGGCAGGCGCAGTGCAAGAGACATGTTCATCAGAGATGTTAGGAGGTCAGGGCGCTGATTTCCTGAGAGGGGTTGCATTTTGGAGCATCAGATCTGTAGGTGTGCTAAGATGATTTGCGTGACAGGTGCAGCACTTCGTATATGACCTGGCATCACTTTTTCGTGGCAGGTACAGTACTTTAGACAGATGGAGTGGAGAAATCACAAAACGCATTGGCAGGAGGCCGTCAGCTCTGCACTCAACTTTTTATTTTTGAAGGAAGTCTCGCAGAATTGCTTCGTTTTTGATGTTGTCAAGTTGGAAAATTGTGGACGCCTCGCCGAATTGCTGCATTTTTGATGTTGTCAACTTCGAAAATGGAGGAAATCTCGCAGAATAACTTCGTTTTCAAGCTTGCAGGTAGGCAGATAGATAATGGACAATTACAACTACAACTACGGCTACAACTGCAACTACAACTACACTACATTACGCTACACTACACTATATAATTACACTGCACCACACTACAACTACAACTACAACTACATTACACTACACATCACTACACCAGGCTAATTGCACTACACTACGCATCACTACGCTAATTTCACCTCACTACAACTACAACTACGTTACGCTACACTACACTGTGCTGACTACCACTACAACGACAGCTGCAACTACAACTACAACTACAACTACTCTACACTACACTAGACTACACTACACTAAATTACACTACAGTACGCAACACAACAGTACACTACATTACCCTACATTACCCTACATTACACTACACCAATTACACCACACCACAACTGCAACTGCAACTGCAACTACAATACACTAATTACACTACACTACAACTACAACTCCACTACTCTACAACTACAACTACTGTACAGCTGCAACACAGCACACTACACTACATCCAGCAGTTGTGGGTGAGGTGACCACTGCAACCATTGCAACCACTCCAAAAAACACAACTCCAACCACCTTTCGGTCCATCCTTCTCGAAGAGTTCAGCTAAGCTAAAGATGAGTGAAAAACAACCGCTCCGCCATGGCAGACGGGTAAGCATGTGCAATCATATGCATATGATTGATTAATTGTAATTGCATGTTGATGTTACAAATATTTATTAATCATATAATGTTGTATCCTGATTAGTAGCTAGGTTCGCTATTGTGCCAAAAAAACAAATTATTCTGAACCCATGGATTGATTGGCAGGTTCGCTATTGTGGCAAGAAATCTTGGGAGGCCATGCTTTTTGAAAAACAATGTTTAAGTCAAAAAAACTTGACATTTTTTCTGCAAAAAAAACGTGGTTGTCTGCCGTTCCCAAAAGAATCAGATCGCTTATCAATAAACCCTTATTAAAGAACAGTTTTCCACAAATTTCCAAGGCACTGGGCCATGAGAGGGTCCAATTCACTTTAGTAGGTTTGTTCTCAGGGTTCACAATTGCAGCAAAATTTTCAGAGCTGATTCTGGAGCCAAGACAAGAAAGGTAGGCCTTTTCCAAAAGAACATTTTCCACAAATTTCCAAGGCACTAGGCCATGAGAGGGTCCAGTTCACTTTAGTAGGTTTGTTCTCAGGGGTCACAATTGCAGCAAATTTGTCCAGAGCTGATCCTGGGGCCAAGAAAAGAAAGAAAAGCCTTTTACAAAAGCAACCTGTTCTTTCTCTTTCTCTTCCTTTTCCTTTTCCTCTTCCTCTTCCTCTTCCAACTCCTCTTCCTCTCTCTCTCTCTCTCTCTCTCTCTTTCTCTCTCTTTCTCTTTCTCTCGTTCCCTTTCTCTTTTTCTTTCTCTTATTACATCGCTGCAACCCCTAGGTTTGCCCGCGGCCAATCCCGCATATCTTTTAACATGCTCAAATCCCTTCGCAGGGTTTAAGCTTTTTACTTTCCAAAACAACAAACACCAAAACCCTAAAACGTAAAACCCTGAAACCTAAAACCCTAAACCCTAAATCAAAACCCTGAATCCTGAAAACTTAAAGTCAAAATCACTGCGTATAGCCTGTGTTTTCATTCATCCTCTGGTGATAAGGATATCATATTGTTTGGATGTGTTGTTTGAGTGTGGGCGAACCAGGGGGTTGCGGGGTACATGTTTCATTAAGAAAAAAATTAAGGTGGAAAAGGTAACGCAATCAACATTCTGAACCCCACTCACTACAAGTACTACAAGTACTACAAGTACTACAAGTACCACAAGTACTACAAATACCACAAGTTCATCGGTCAAATTCAATTGTAGACAATACTTAAGTGCGGATTTTTTTTTCTGGGACACTACTTTTTGGCACCCAACTTTAAACAGGGTATAGCTATTTTTCGGGGGGGGCCTTACACTAATCAGGACGAAACAATATATATGTGTGTGTGTGAATCTATCATATCACAGTTTCGACATGTCTTGCGTCATTCAACTGTGTTCTTCGTTTGTTGCCCACCTTCTCGAGCTCAAACCTCAGCAGCCGGGCGATGTAGTCGTGGTCGTGGATCTGCTTGGTCCGTGGGAACCTCGGCGCTTCGGTGGACACGACGTCACTGCAAGCCACCAATGGACCACCAAGGGGCTGCTCCAAAGTCTCATGGACCACCTCCCCGTTGAGGACGTAAACTAAGGTGCACTCAAGGCATTTCACCTGCCACTGGAAGAGTATTGGAAGCATTTCAAAATATTTCAAAATATTTCAAAATATTTCAAAATGATTCGTGGAACAGCCGTGCCAAGTTGAGTCTTTGCCAAGGCGCGGTTGCCGTTCTGCGCTTGTCGGAGCCAAAAACGGCAACGTCACCTCCGAGCAAAATCCAAAAGTCATCCACAAGACAGAAGCCCAAGCATGTCCAAGCCACAGAGTGTCGGATGTCAGCACGTTGATAGCGCTTATGTTTGTAATATTATATACGTATGTCAGCACTTCAGAGCCACAGAAAAACAAGGCAGAAAGACAAGGTCCAAGTCATTCCCAGTCACCGAGCACCACTCCACCACCAAGTTCTGCAACCCTCATGCTCCCCTTCCTTGGATAGCTTGGACATGCTTGGACATGTGACAAGTGTCGAATGGGCTTCGAATGGGCTTCGAATGGGCTTCGAATGGGCACGCAGGGCTGCCAAGATAAGATGGGCCAAGCCACAGGACTTCGACCTTGCCCGAGTAGACGATGAACATCTCAAAGCCCATTTCCCCTTCCTGACATCAAAAAAGGCTGTTGAAAACAAAGAACTGCTGCAGAAACTTGAAGAATGCCGCATCGGGACACCCTTTTATGCCATTGGGCAAGCCTTCTGACTATAGCTTTACATGCTTTCAAGCGCAGCAGTCTCGACAAATGGGTCTGAGAGCCAGTCCTTCATCAGGGCCATTCCAGGATAGTACAACCTGCACCGTCACAGGGTCAAGATGCTCATGAAGAGCTACCCATGAAACACGCGAACATATCAAAGCGTCAAGCGTGTTGATTCCTTGCGTGTTCAGCCTTGGCTCCAGGAATTCGCAGGTTTTCTTGACACACTCCCGCTCCTGGAGTGTTGGGAAGACGTGGATGAGACGCAAGCTTGAACTAAACATCATCAATCGTAAAAGGGTACATGGATGCACCAATACACGCACACACACATGTATATATATATATATCGCAATATCATATCTAATCATATCTATATAAATATGTATTTATATGTATTTATTTATTTATTCATTTACTTATATATTTATATTTATATATATATATGTATATATATATGTGCGGGAGCGCGGGTGCCAATTCTATATGGTCTTTGAATGTCTTTCAAATACCCCCTTAAACCCTCTCACATGTCACAATCCCTGCTGGCCGCTCCATCTTTCGAAAGCACGGAAGGCCGTAAAAGGACTCAGTGTCACCTGCCGGGCCACAAATGCCACCGATATCCACAGATCACATGCTGCATGGCACTCAAATCAAGTCTGGCTTGGGCGCCTGTCAGGTTCTGCATCGTCTCCAACTGCTGTAGGAGAGGGTACTTCTCAATTCCTCCTGTACAAAGACGACAACTATACGACTATACGACAACTCACAAGCTGAAGCCTTCAAGTTCCAAAGCTTCAAAACCAAAAAAGAAATTTGAAGACCAAACAATAGAAATGGTCAAGTGAACATACCCAACTGGTCTAGTTTGCGCATGTTGGGAGTGTTCAGCAGTGTGGACAACGGGTCGAGACTGAAACCCACGTAAATCACTTTGTTCACATCACCAAGGTCTACCAGATCTACCATGTTTTGTTCATTTCTGTTCCGTCCACTTCCGTCCTGTCATGTCGACCAGGGCACGAAACGCTGTTTTGGAAAGCAGCAGCAGGGAGGATTGCTCGATGCATTTGCAGCTGTGGCTTCGAACTTTGCTCACACCCAGCATGCCTCAGAACATCTCACAGGATCTCACAGGCCACCAGGGCCACCAGGGCCACCAGCATGGCAAATCTTTGTCCCACAGGATTTTCAACTCTTCCGGAAATCTGCCAAGATCTGCCAAGATCTGCCAAGATCTGCCAAGATCTGCCAAGATCTGCCAAGATCTGCCAAGATCTGCCAAGATCTGCCAAGCTACCCATGTCTCCACAAATTCCTCCTGGACCCACTTCACCTTGGATGACACTGGGTGTTTTCGAAGTGGTGCAACGCGCGGCACACATCAACATGTTTGCATTGATATGCATTGATATGTATTGAAAGATTTATCCATTTTGATCCAAAAATCCAATGGAAATTTCTGGCGAAGATGGATGTTGAAGGATCGACTTCTCCAGTCTTCCAGACAGCACGATGACCATCCAATCACCTTCCCGGCAACATCACTGGGCATTTTTGCAGTTTGCGGGTCCAAAGCCATGGGTTCTATTGCGATTTTGCTCATTGGCGCCTGGTTCACCCTGGCGATAGAGAATTCCACCGGAGTATTCTGCAGGCACCACTGCTTCGCAGAGCATCTGTCTGAAGGGGTCAGGTGCCTCATCGAAGAGAATGATTTTCCTTAACGGATTCACTGGGATCACAGAGAGCAGCTGTTCCCTGTGGATTTTGTATGATTCTGTGACATGTTATGATTCCGGTAGCTGGGACTGCAAATTGCCAACTGCCCGAACGATACAACAACAACAACCTCCGCTTGCAAGTCAGAATCTTCAGAAGTGACATGAAATCATTTCTCGTACTGGAACGTTGCATAGACTTGTCCTTGGTTTCTGCGAAAGCGCGGGTTCCCTTGCAGCAAAGCCGCCCGGTTCCGCGTTCTCAATCACACGCACACGGATACATACATACATATAATACATATGTATACAGTATATACAGTATACAATTAGATTGTATACAATTATCATGTTTTGATCAAGAGGCCCAGTTGCGCAACAGCTCCTGGCCACAGAAACAGTATTTTGATGTATTTTGCCATGTTTTGCTGAATCATGCTGAATCCCGTGTGTGTCAATTCGACTCGGTGCAAACGAGTCGTAGGTCAAGTGCTTTACAAGTGACTGCTTCCATTGCAAGTTCAAAGCTCCTTGTCATGGCGTGGTAGGCCTTTGAAACGCAGTTCCGGCTCCATGGTCGCAGTTTGAGACCTATAAACTTCGCAAACTTGACGTAAACTAGCTGGAAGGCTCAAGTTCGGCTCAGAGTTCAAAGTTCTTTGTGCCAACCCGCTTGATGATATGCTGAAAAGTGTTGCTTGCCACAGCGTTGCCTAGATGGCACTGTGCACGAAGGACTTTTTCTGCATTTGACCATGCTCTCCAAGTTGATCCTGAACTGCTCCAACTTCATGGTGTCTTCTTGACATCACTTTGTTTATCTTTGTTCATTGACATCACTTCTATGACTTCTATGTGCCAGCACCGAATTGGGCAGCCTGGGTCCGAAACATGGGACCCAGACTGCCATGACATTCTGTGATTGAGTGTCTCTGCTTACAACACCCTGCGGCATTTCATGGAGTTTGCCAAAATGATGGCAGGTCTGATCTCTTCATATTTCTGCACTATTCCGAGTCATTCCCTCAATGTGGCACGATCAGTCTGCCGTCTCATCCTGACTCGTTCCATTCAAGATGCGCCGAAGTGAGAAGGTCAAGCACTAAATCCGGCGACGTCATACAAAATCATATGCAAAACAGACGCAAAACAGAAGGCAAAAGAACGAAACCAGTTTGAGGTTTGAACCAACCTAACTACGAGACAATCATGACATGTGTCAATTGTGAAAGCTAGAGACCAAAGCTAGCCTAGAATAGCCTAGAGGCCTAGAGATTAACATGCCTGGACAACGGCTTTCATGAATGGGCGAGCACATTGTCTCGGGGGAGCTTGTCAAATGGTGGCCCAAGGGCATTAGAACACTGCCGCCAGAAACCTTTGCAATTCTCGCGATGGTGAAACGAAGAGGTTTCCTTTGCCAGCGGCCACCTAGACCTCTGTGCCAGTGTCAGGCACCTCCGAAGCCGACAAATTACATTCAGCACTAATTGGCCAATGGCAAATTCAGGATGGAGTTGAGGTGTTTAAAGTGATGGACCAGGTTACTTACTGTTGCTTTGTGCAATTGTTGGCTGAAAACACGGCTGTAAGTTTGAGAACGGCACATCCTCGACATCTTCTGCTTCCACGTCTTCTTTTTTTCCTCCCTTAAAACGGTTTTGGAGCGCGGCTGTTCGGAACCGATTCATAAACCGAAATTACTTGCACATGGATGTGGTACGATATATCAGTACCTGTACATCTCTGTATGCCGTATACATTTCTTATAGTATTTGTGTGTGTGTGTTTGTGGGTGGGGCGCCAATAGGCTCAATAGCAAATAGATGCAAATAGAATCTCATATTTTTCGCCAGGGAACATCCCCACGAAGATTCACTTTCTCTCCACGAAGCCTCCTGCAGGTCATCTCATCCAAGATCAGTGAACGTGAACGCACATCTAGTGTCAACATGCGTCAACAAACTGATTCGCTGTCTCTCAATCTGTCCTGGCTTCGGGACCTGAAGCTGGGGATAACATGGGATAACCATTGGACCATGACATATCACATCATATCACGACATACTATCGGATCAATCGGATCAATCGGATCAATCGGATCAATCGGATCAATCGGATCAATCGGATCAATCGGATCAATCGGATCAATCGGATCAATCGGATCAATCGGATCAATCGGGCATGACATGCAGGACATGCATAACATGCGCCAAGGGACTGCCATAGGCAGGGCATGCGTGGCTTTTGCATATGCTGCAGCACCCTGGATCGCAGCAGCCACAGTGGCAATTGGCCGTCCAGGCCTGCGGCCATCTGCGGCCCGACAGAACAACCACAAACACAGAGCTATGATGAGCTATGACATCTAAATGACATCCAAATATCTACATACCATCCTCTGAATTTGACATCTAAATGACATCTAAATGACATCCAAATATCTACATACCATCCTCTGAATTTGGGGTTCGGAAGTCCCCCTTTGTTTGTAGGCTATATACTATATGACTGTATGACGGACATGTCTGTATGATCCATATGACATGTCATGATGCCATGCCAAGGCCTTGTTTGCACATCAGCCTCTTGAGATGGGCAGCTCTATCAAGAGGATCAGCAGAAAAAACGCGCTGATGCGCATGACCGCCCTCGGCAGGTCGTGGAGATTCGTGGAGCAGATAAATGATGATAAATTTTATAAATGTATATAAATGTAGATAATGGCTCCAAAAAGAAAACAAAAACAGAGGTCAAGGAGATTCAAGTCAATTTGAATGATGGGGACATTCAAGAGCCCAGCGAAAACCAGAGCGTTCGGAATTGTTCACAGGATCCAGGTGGATTTCTGGTGGGTTCTTCTATCTTTCTCTTGCTCTCTTTTATCCCTGCATCCCTCCAATTGCAGTCTCAGGCGCTTTGCAGTCCAGTGATGCCCTAGCTTGCTGAGATGATGCTTGTTGAGCAGCAAGCTTCGGGTTCAAACAAGAAGAATCAAATCAGCCTAGCAGAGCTTAGAAAAAATGCATGAATTGCCAACACGTTGACCGTCCCAGCTGCAGCAGCCCTTGGCCCTTGTCTTTTCTGATCATGCAGATCATATGCAACTGTGCGTAGGTTTCCTAAAATACATCTGTTCTTTCAGAACGTCCTGAAATCCGAGCTTGGCAGGTTGAAGTGGTTAAAACCTGCCCAAGCCAATTTCTGGAGCAAAGCTCCAAATAAGTTCAAGGCTGAGCCTTCACGTGGCTGCCTAACACGGACCATAGCAGCAGCAGAAATCAGATTCTGTGGGAATGACTCGTTCAACTTCCCCAGTCACAGCGTCAGGATGTACGGCATAGGGAGAGGATCAAGAGGCCTCCGGCGGCTTGTCTTCAGCCGCTGCATCAGCATTTGCCTCAGCACTTGAAGACATCTGGAGAGAGACTCATTGTTCAAGGGTCATTGTAGAGGCACCCCGGCCTCTTCTTTGGCTTCTGCTCTTGCAGAGGGGAGCATGTAGATGTACCACCTGTGGGTAGTTGCCATGTTAGAACAGACTTGGAGTACTCGCGACCAGAGGCATCAAACAGATTCAAACAGGACATCAAATAGCGATGATGCATGTGTCGAGAATGATCATCTCACCTAAGGACCTAAATGGTCATTAGCAAGACAATAAGGTGCTCACCCAGGCAGGATCACGACAAGGATGATGACCAGGTCAATCCTAAGTCAATTCATCCAACACCGATGAGATGATGACATCTGATGAGACTGATGAGACTCATCTGCAGATAGCTAGGCAGCAGCTAGTCAGCAAGTCTCGGCCGCAGCATATCCCCCTTTAGTTTAAGGTGCTGACATAGCAAGTACTTTTTGCATCGTTTCACCTGCGCTGTGTCAAATTTCCGTTGGAACTGGGCGATGCAGGGCGTGCCAAACAGCAGGCCTTCCACAGTCTCGGATGCCCCTTGCACGGCTGTGTAGACCTGCAGATCATCGCATGCACAGCATGGCACAGCTACAGCTGCCATCTGTTGCCAAGCGGCAGCCGTTTCCCAGGAAAACGCTAGAATCAGGGAAGCGATGTTGACAAAGGTTGGGGAAGTCATCCAGCCTGGGCCAAGTAAAGTGGTTTGGACTTTGCCAGCACCGTATGCACCGTAAGATGCACGAGCCACCGGAACATGTCACCCAAAAAAATAAATGCTTGTTTTGTTTTGTGTGGTTTTGTCTTTCTGTCTTGTATTGCAACCGTTGTGTTCAAGAAAACTTGACACTGAATTATCCAGCTTGGGCACTCGATCGCTTCAAAAGATGCCCCACAACCATTGGGAAGAAGACCAGCACCTTGGTGACTCCCGAGGTGACACAAAAATACGCAAATGTTTCAAATGACCATGATCAAAGGACTGAACCAGGGAAGAGCACAACATCAAATTTCACCCCAAACAGTTGGTACACCAATTCTTTTTATTAAAATAGAGACAGAGAGAGAGGGAGAAAGGTCCAAATATAGTATGCTGTATACATACTGAAACTCAAACCAGTTCATCCCACCATCATCCAGCCATCATCCAGCCATCATCCATCCCCATCTTCCAAACCATCGCTAACCGTTAAACCATCATTCCCTAACATTCCCAACTATCATCCCCAACATCCCAAGCCCCAAACAGACGCCCAGGCTCCGATCCCATCAACGCCAGGCCGTTGGCCGCGATGAGTTTGGCCGTGTGATGCGCACCGTTGGCGTCGTCCGCGGTGAAGTTCCACAGGAACCACCTGAAGTCGTCACGAAGTCGTCTGAAAATTCGAAGGATCCCAGGCTTCAGATGGCTGCAGATGACTTCAGATGACTTCAGATGCCCAGCTTTAGCAACTCTTGCTGCTGATATACTGCTGCTCTACTGCTGTGGCATATATATATATATAGATATAGATTATATAGTCTCATATAGTAACTGAATCATAAGTGAATCATAGCTATCCTATGCTATCCTGAGCTCCTTGGCTCTCCCTAAACCACTGGATAAATTTAGATAAATATTCTAAATGTGATGTGAAACTGTGCAACGATACCAGAGGTTGAAAACAAAAAAGATCGAAAACAAAAATCCTAAATAACTGCACAAAGCCAACGAGAACCTGACGGTAGGTGCCAAAACGACAACCAAATGTGCCACACTCTGACAGAGCTTGACATGCTTCAACAAGACTCTGCAGCCACGTGGCTGGCATAGGTAGAACACCTTGGAAGTCTTGCACCACTCCCATTCCACTACCACTTCAAAATGGTTCAGTGTATTTCAGTGTAAGAGTCCATTGGGCCCGAACCAGCCAGCCAAATGTCATCCAAAGAACCGCTGACAGCGTCCTTACAGGACATTGGTCTCGTTCAAAATCTGCTGTGTATCCGCTTGTCATCTTCTGGCGAATGGGTTTCAGACTTCACCAATCGCCCCAGGGTGGGTGACAAGTTCTCCCTTGGCGCAGGTAAAAAGTGATCGAAATGGTATACGGTATAAGTTATATAAGCTTCAAGCCTACAGGACCCTACAGGGCACGATGCAAGTCTGACTATGGTGGCTGGGATGTGGCTGGGATGACGACGCATTGGGGAGGACAAATTTTGCCTGGCCACAAGCAGCCATCCATTGACAGCAAGGGTCGCAAGATCTCTTGCTCACCCATGTTAAAAGATGTTCAAAGCAGCCATGATGCAACACTTTGCCCAAGCCACAAAAGCTGCAGCGAAGAGGAAAGTCAGAAGCGCAAAGCAAAAGAGCCAATTCCTCGTTCCACTTCAGTGAGGAAATTCTCCCAAATTCCTCTGCCACTCACTGAATCTATTTTGCTGTAAGCTGGGAGCACGACACATCGTCTCCTGTGGTCTTCCGACCATACCTGGCTCCTGGTACTGCCTCAAATGAAGAAACTTTAAGATGGTTTTGGACATCTCATCTCTTGACTGCGGAATTTCAGTGGGGGATGGATTCGGATGGCTCGCGCTGCACACTCAGACTTTGACGCCAGTGATACAGAAGCGAAGCCACATTGAGAAGAGAAAGCCTACCTGAAGAAAGCAGTGCAATGCCAGCAGTCAGCGCAATGATATGCCATGAACACTTTGCATGTCATTATTTCATCAGTTTCAACCCTTTCAGAAGCCCCATTGAGCTGAGTTCCAAACAGTAAATGCAACTATTTCCATCTCCATCTCTTCTACCAGGGCTGCGAAGCCAGAACTACTGGGCCTCACCAATTGACAAACAGCCCGCAGGGCGTTCAGTTGCTACAAACTCACACATCGCAGCACCCGCACTGAGTTCCGCACGCGGCAGAATCTGTTGCAGCTGCAGCAGCTGCAGCATCTGCAGGTGGTGCCTGGATCACAGAATGAGTTGAAAGGTTGAGGGAAGGTTTGCCAAGTTTGCCATGCACCAGGATGGGAAAGGTGGTGCAAAGTGTCACACCTCCGACCCTCCGGCTGCTTCACCACTTGCTTCTGGGGCAGAAGTCGTCGAACCTTCTGATCGCGCCCTGCGCTGTCAGCAGAAAGAATCTGGAAACACAAAAAACAATCTAAAACATGTGATGGATGCCTCCAGTCATCTCCAGTCCAACGCCAAATAAGAGAATCAAATACATATGAAATTCAAAGGATGTAGGTCAGTGCCTCCTAGCATATGCCTTCACATGGGGATTGGGTGCAAACCTTGCCAGACTGCCAGACTGCGGGTTGCATATGGTGTGATATTGGTGTGATATACATGCCCACCCTAGCGCCCTAGCAACGCAAGCGGAATGTGAGCCTGGCCTCCACTTCCTCATTCCCCATTGGATCGCCCCCAGCAACCTGGAACGGATCTGTAGAAGCTGGGGTTTATACAGGCAATGAAGGATGATGGGCAAACAAACATGAAAAAGCTAGGCAGCCACACAGGCAAACGCAAAGGACCTGAATATGTTGGCACATAATCATAGTGGCACGTTGTGCTTTGACTGAATCCAGAGCCGTCTGCAACCCTGACAGATCACTGAAAGTCCTGAAAGTCTAGGTCCAGCACCCCCAAGAAGTACATGTACGGACCGGAGTTGAAAACCTTCAGGCATTACATTGCTTGACCCAGCCCTATAAGCCTATAAGCTATCTATAAGTATTGCAGTGACATGATCGCCAAACATGGCAGCCGTTGCTCCGAGAAGCATCTTGCTTCAATATATCCGTGAAGGCGTCAGCACCTGGCAATGTGGCCGAAAATCTGATGCAGAATGCACAAAGCAGAATGTCTTGCTTCACTTGCTTTCCCCACCTGCAAAGCCAACCAAATGCACGCCTCGGAGAATTGACCAGCCACTAGGATCACTAGATCTCACGACTGCCAGATACTGGTCATGCAGACCACTCTGATCACAGCTTGGGACTCAAAGGGTCAGATTTTTTGAGATCCTGACCGACGATGCGGATGCACTGTTTCAAGCTCTCAGTCTCCATCTTCTTTTTCAGCCTGAAACACAGAGTGTGCCAAGAGCGGGGCAAAGGTGCTATGAGTCTGTATAGTACTGTATAGGGTCAAAGACACTTGTAGCAACGCGTGCCGAACTGAGTGATAGGCAGAAACGGTGTCAGGAACCTTGGGTCAGATTCACAATGGGTTGCTGCAACCCGGGTTGTTTTGGGTTACGAACCGGAACCAATGGCATGGTGAGTCCAAGCCGCCCAAGCAGCCGAAGGGTGCAAGATGCAACTAGGGCAACTATGAGCAACGAGCGACTGGCATCTACTGTAGTGCCAAAAACGACTAAAGTGACCCCCTGCCAAGCCACAGAAGGATGAGGTACCGAAGGAAGGAAAGGACATCGCTGATCACTTTGGCTTCACTGGACCTCTGTCTCCCAATGACTAAGATCAACTGTCTTCCCTCTGTCACATCGTGCCACACTTTCTTTCACGATGCGTCGTGATAGGTACTGCGGCACAACGCTGAAAATGTCGTGAAAACCAAGGCTTCGACTCCGAAGAGCCCCTCTCAGTGAAAGCATCAACACTTCACCACTTGAAATGAACAACACATATCAAAACGCGACCACATGATGACACATGCGTGTGCCCAGCCGACACAGTGTCTCCACATGGCGCATGGCAAAGCATGGCTGAGGCGCAAACATCATCGTCTTCCATCCCTTCTTCATGACCTCAATGGTGCTTGTCCATTGTGAGATGAAAGCTTCGATGAAAATATAATGAAATGTAATGAAATGAGAAAAGGACATGAAGTAAATGAGAGTAAACAAATCAACAAGTTTCGCCTTTTGGACATTTTTGGACGGAATGGAAGCGACGTCTACAAGTTCAATGGGAATTCCAGGATCCTAAACTGGAGGTACTGTACCACATAAGGCCACATTTTGGGGTATATCCCCTTACATAGCCCTTACATAGGCCTTATATAATGGTAGGTACCTCCAATTTGGGTTCCTGGAATGGCCATTGACAAGTCACAGTCTCAGCTGACGGCCATGAACAAGAGTATGACCGAGAAAAGCGAAATACTGGAAGCGAGAAGCCTCCATGTTGCCACCTCAACCAAGGGCAGCGCTTCCATATGTTCCACATGATCTCTAAATCTTGAAAATATCTTGAAACAGTGCAGGGCAACTGGAACCTGGAGCATGGTGTTTGAAGTGTTCACCATGTAGAAAACTGACCTGAAAGCAAAGCAACAAGATGCAAATGGCAAAGTGAGGCCAACCTGCAAACTTGCTCAGCATATCAGATTCAAATCATATCGTGATAATATATGATAATATGATATAATATGTTGTATCATGAAACATTCAGGAATCATGACCAAATCATGACCATGCATGACCATTCTCTTGTCTCTCCAATGTCTCTCCAATGTCTCTCCATTCTCGTCTCTGGCATCGATTGGATCATGTTGGATCCACAGAATTGCACGGTGCGACCAGGGAACAGGACGAAGCCAATGGAAGCGAGGAGTGACAATGACATTGCCTCAGGCTTAAAACATCACTGCATCACTTTGCCAGAACATCGCACGAGCCAAGTATGGAAAGAAATAACATAATATAACATAATCACAGTTAAAGAATGTTAAAGACAATACGACTTTACGCTGCTGAAGTTTCTCGGCAAAATCTCGACCACAGTCACCCCAAGTCCTACATTGCGTTCAAGCTGCGGTTGCTGCTTCCTTTTCCTGATCCTGTGGGGAACAGCGGCAGAAGGATGTATCTTTGTCGTATCTTTGTCGTCTCAATTCTCACAGCAACGGCGCTCCTTCCACACGGTCACCGCTTGATCCTCGGCTGCCATTGCTGTGCAACCAAGCATAACCAAGCCATAAGATCGGCGACACGTGCATCACCGTGCCACGCCGTGCCACACTGCAAACAAGGTACCCCTCCAGACTTCACCGTCAGATTCGAGACGGCTTCTGTTGCACTCACCACCACCTCCAACAAGACAAGATCTGCATGTGTCTGCATGAACACGTCTAAGATCATTTGAGAGGCAAAACTACAATGAAGTTCTAGGGCCTTGCTCACAGGCTCTTGATGAACAAAGCTTGCATCCTGGTCAAAAACAGCTAAGTTAGACGTCTAAGCTTTCAGGGGCTTTCCCAGTTACTTCTGCGTGTCCATGCAATACAGCAAGATTGGCTTCTGATTCTTCTGATGATGATGATGATGATGTTGATGTTTTGTTGGTCTACTGAAACATGAACACCTTGGGATAACGCCAACTGCTTCCCCATGTTCTCTTGAGAAAACCAAGGCATCTTTCGACACTTGCAGCAACTTGCAGCAGTGTGCAGCTGCTCTCAATGTCTTTGTCCTGGCTGGATCGGCTTTCGCGGCGGACGTAGCCGGGGCCCGAATGAAGGGACCTCAAAGGCTCACACGGAGTCATGACACGAAGAATGACTTGTGACATTTGATCTCATGAAAGCTAAACGGCTAAATGACTTTTGTTTTCCAATGTTTTCCATCTTTTCCCAGCTTCTGAGGAAACACTGTAAAACACATCCCAAACATGGCTATTCTGCAGCCAAGAGGCTCAATATTGCCATTGGCAGCGACTGCGTGCACAGCCTCCACTGAGTTCAGAAGGCAAACGGATTTAAATCTGAACAAATCAAGGCTTTTACAGCCTTATGACCGGCCTTGTACTCAGCACTCTGGACTGCTTGAACTGCAAAGGCGGCCCACAGCCACAACATGCTCCTGAGATCACAAAGCAGGCAATAGGAGATCTGGAGTATATATATATTATATATATACATATTATGCATGTATGTATGTATGTATGTATGTATGTATGTATGTATGTATGTATGTATGTATGTATGTATGTATGTATGTATGTATGTATGTATGTATGTATGATGGATGCATGCATGCATGCATGTATGTATGTATGCATGCATGCATGGATGGATGGATGGATGGATAGATGGCATGCATGCATGCATGCATGCATGCATGTATGTATGTATGTATGTATGTAAACTGCTGGAAACTGTTGGGAAAAGTTGCATCTTGAAACAAATCCAAGCCAGGCACTACGGATATGGATTTCTTACACCTTCGGGAAGGATCTACCTTCTTTTGAGCCAGAGGCTGCGAACCCCTAAAGATTGACGAAACGAGGTGCTTCAAATCACGCAAGCTATGGCAGGATGGTGGGCTGCTGCACGAGACATGTGACACGCAAACTGCAAGTGGCAAAGCCAAGCACAAAATCCGCCTGGCAAAAAATCTCCACAGTTGGGCTGTAAGCTCCATCGAGCGCCTCAAGCGAAAAGGTTGGCATGGTAATGCATGGTATAGCTTTACTTCTTAGCTTTCTATTAGCTTTCTGCGCTCAGAGATGTCAGATGATGTCAGAGTCGATGTCTCAGCATGGTGACAAGATCTCGACACTTTTTTCAGAGAAGTGAAAGGCGTTCTTTCAATGGTTGCGGCGGTGGCAAGCTAACAGCACCCTTCAGAATCTGAAAGGATTTGATTGGAGGCTTCAGAGCAAATTTGTCACAAGGCCAATGTGAACTGCATTTCCCCTGCAGATAGGCCTTCTCTTTCTTTCGTCTCGTTTGCTCTGAACGGCGCGCAACTGGAGCATATGCAACACATACCCCCAAACGCGCGGGTCGGCCACAAAAGTGCCCTGTGCCGCACACACTGGCATGGAGCAAGCGCGAGTTGAAGAAAACAACACTGTCAGGTGGGACATCAGGCTTTAGAGGCGAAGCAGGCTGCAACGCATCTTCTGGAGCTCTCAGATGGTCACCTTTGGCACGCCATTCCCATGGAAATGTGACTTTATGCGAGCCAGGGACTACACAGGTCCCGGCATCATGAGGCCCACTGCCAAAGTGGGTGTAAACCGCTTGAACAGATAGACCTTTGTGGTTTGGATGTTGGTCTTTATGGAGCCAACCTGGAAGTTTGCTCTTGGAGTTCTGGGCTTGTGCAATGACAGCATCAAGACTAACCGCCAGGTCCTTGGTTCCAAAGATTGATGCAAAGGCCTCCCGGATGCGAGGATGTGCGCGAACCATCCAAGCAAAGTCTGCATGTGGGAGCCCATAGCTGGTGACAATTCCACGAAAACCCTTTGGAAAGTTCCATGTGTGCTGCTTTCCAATGTCAAGATCAGGAACTACTGTTGTCATCGCTTTCCAGAATTCATCTCTAAAGATATGGCCAGCATCACCCAAGACCCCTTGCAGGATGGCAAAACCATTCTCCTGCAAATGCACCAAGAAGTCTTCATTGGCTTCACCAAAGATTGCAGTTCCAGGAGTTCTCATGGTTCGTGTGAAGTTCACCACTTCCATTGGGGTCATGTGACAATGGCGCTTGGCTCTCTCAGGCTCAAGCTCAGGCACCATTTCCAGGGCGCGCTTCACGGGTTCCACTGTGTTCACTTGTTGAAACCATTGAACTTCTTTCGGCCCATTTTCCCCAGTTGAAACTCCGCTTGCTTCGATTCCATCCCCGTCCCCATCAAGCTGCGGCTCTTCGTCCGAAAGGTCAATGACCGGCACCTCTACCCAATTAGCATAGCTTGACATAGCTTGACATGACTTGACACTTGAGCCGCAGCTGCCACTGAAACTCTGGCGGAGAGGAAGTAATCTTTGAGGGAAAGTTGTTTACGCATTTAAGCATGGTTGATCAAATATTCTCAGATATTCTCAGCATGTTCAAGTTCATACTAAATAGTTCACATTGCTCCGAGATGTCCAGAATGATCAGAGCGTTTTTTGCTTCATTTTTTGCACCCGTGGCACTTGCCTTTATGCCAGGCAGTGAGACTGCACCACAAAAGGCCAACAATCTGAACGCTGTCAGCATCTGTCAGCATCTGTCAGCATTTCCTACAGTCGGCTCCCAGCTTTGCTGGCACCACCTGGCGTAGCACACAGGAGCATGGCTGCCTGCTGGCCGGCGCCTAAGTCTCAACATCTCCAACCCAACTCCAACCCATCTCAACTCATCTCAACCCAAACCAAACGCAATTTACCTCGACACAACCTGAGAAGCATCGGCCTGTGATATGAGGATATCGGAGGATATGCAAAATGGGGAAGGCATTTGCATTTCAGGTGAACAACGTGTCAAAAACGGCAATAAGGATCAATATGATCAATAAGGTAGCTTGAGTCTAGGCCTAGGCACATGCAAACGGCCACGTCGCTTCCTCCTCTTCTCCGGATGCAAGGCGCTCAAGGATTCCACGAGCAACTCGAGTGACGGTCTCCTGACGAGCAACAGAACCGACCGACCCGGAGCAACCAAGCCACCTCAAAACAACATAAAACGACTTGCAAGCAAAATATGAACGCATCGGACCCTGACGAGTTGCAATGAACATCAAAACGTGAATTTGCGTCTGAACTGATGGCAGATAACTGAAACGCTTTGTGCGGTTTTGTTTGAAAATCAAGTGCGCAAGACAGTCTCCCCAATCCCAATCGCTTGTGGTTGAAGCTCTTGGCATGTCCTCGCCCCACATCTCACCCCACTTATTCAGCAAGCGTCTTCCTCGAGATGTCAAAATCAGGCATGGCAAAACCGACTTCAAAGAATTCTGAGGACTAGTAGCTTCTGAGGACTTGCACTGGTTCGAAATGGAAGAATCAGCTAAGTAGGACTCAGCTCACTCAACAATCAATTTCATTTTGAAAAGGTTTCCTTCACTTCTCGAGCTTCTCGCAGCCGATGAGTTTTTTCTTTGCCAAGGTTCTCAACACTTCCCACTTGCCGGGCCGTTCCAGGATTGCAGCTACTGTGGCCGGACGGACCGCGTCGCAACCAGACTTAGCCACCAGGAAATCGACCAGGCGGACAGCCAACCTCGTCCATGAGGCAGACAGCCGAGCTCATGTGACTTCCAGTGACACTTCCACTGAGATCTTGCGTTGTTTGGTGAATTTGGGGATGTAAAGCAAAGCTCTGGACTGAGTTTCTTCGTAGCCCTCGGCATACTGGCCTTAGATCACCAGCTTGGACATAGGTTTCACGTGCAGCTCGTCACGTCTTCAGAAATGTGGACCCCTTTGGTGCATCTTGATATATATATATAGATACATCTCTCTCTCTCTCTCTTTCTGTATTTATTTATTTGTTCATCTATTTATTGATCTATTTATTTATTGATGCTAGATTTGGGTTGGCTCGCAGCTGTGATGCATGTGCTGTGTGCCAAGAGTCGGCCCAACTTTTGGTTGATCTCATCTGTGAGCTTGGTCAAGGCATCATGTGAATCCTTCCCTTGTCGTGGGATCCAGTCTGCTAAGGGTACCTTGGTGACGGGCTCAGAGGAGTCAACTTGATGTATCAACATGATGTGGCTAAAGCTCAAAAAAAAACATGGGGGCAGAAATGAACTCACCAATTCTATCCCAATTTGTCATGACTTTCATGACTGGTAAACTATCCCAATTTGGAAACTGATATGGACCCATAGTCCAAGGCCAGTCCGTGTCTAGGGCAAGCAACGGTCGAAGGATCGAAGCTCCAGCAGGGATCTGTTAGTCGGGTGTCCAGGTGCCAAGACCTCAGCCGCTGGATAGCAATCGGATAGCAATCGGCGGATAGCAATGGGATAGAAATGGGCTCAATAGAATAAATCTCAATGGGATCTCAATAGGCAATATCCAGTGGATGCCAGTGCTATCTGCTTTCTGTTCCCCATGCCTTTGAGAGCCTTTGATTAGAAGGGATTAGAAGGGATGCCACAGGGCGCACGAAGCAGCTGACTGATTCAACACAAATGGGAGGAGGAGTTGCGCTGGTTGGACCCTGCATGCCCAGCCGCGCAAGAGTCCGTCTACAAAATGGGGTTCCAATTGTATCCTAACCCCAATGAATCCCCATCCCGTTACAAACTACAAATTGATCTTGGTCAAGTTTGGAGGAGCTACTAAATGCAAATGACTTTTTATATTATGGATGCTCCGACTGCCTCATACTACCTCAACGTACACAACTATACAAAATGCAAATGACTTTTTATGTTGGATGATTCAACTATACAGCTACAGAATGCAAATGGGCATTTGAAATGGAAAGAAAAAACGAACGCTACAAAATGAAAAGACTACAAAAAGCTCGGCACAACTACGCGTTTTGTATACAAAACAACCCTGGCTGGCGTTTGGTAGTGTAGCACAGGTCCCCTCATTATGTAGTTACAATTTCATACCAGATATAAATGGGATTAATGTAGGCTGCCTAATAGTAAACCCCCCCCGCCCCCTAAATCCGCCCGCACCGAAGGTGCTGGGGCGTGATCGTCCGGATGGCACTCGTAAAAGGTTACAGGTTTACCTGGGGGGGGGGGGCATTTTTCGGCCAAAACCTCCTGTTTTTGATAGGTCGTGACGCTCGCCTTCAAAAAACACTGTAAAAAACAGTACGGAAGACACCTGTTCGTGAACGCGCCCGTCCAAAATCGGCAAGCGAAAAGTGAAAAAAACCCGTGTTTTTCAACTTTTTGACCTCAATTTTTTGGTTTGCAACATCTTTTTTTGCGGTTCCGCAGGTGGCCTGGCCCGGAGGCGGATTTTTGAGTTTTTGGACCCGTTTTCGGACTGATTTTCGTCGTTTTGTGATAGCAGAAACACTGGTTTTTACAGTGTTTTTCTGTTTTCTGCATGCTTGACGGCTAGCTTCAAAACTTCCAAAAACCTCGTAAATTACGCTGTTTTATGTTACGGTGTGAATGAAAACATCGTAAATACCAGTGTTTTTTGACGTTGGTTAAAAAAACACTGTAAATTACAGTGTTTTTGGCCACCTGACCCTCAAAAACCATGGTATTTGCAGTGGTTTCTGCTTCTCACCGCGCAAAAACACTGTAAATAACAGCAATTTCGCCGTTTTTTCATGTTTTTCGTTCTTTTTTGAACTGCGTTGGTCCGCTATACATGGCTATCAAATTCTTCGCGTTTTTTTTTCCGACAATCAGTACTTTCGGATGTTTTTGGTCTCAATGGCCGACATCATTGGCAGTTACGAGCGGTCGCGAAGGTGGCCGCACAGGGGTTCTTGTCGCGGAGCGACAATGGCTGACATCATTAACAGTGTGGACCGTTCACTCGATATACGATGCGGTGCGGGCGGTTGCCGTCGCGAAGCGACGTGAATAAAATGATTATTTTAATAAAATTAGGGGGGGTCAGCATTCCAATAGTAAATTTTTGGAACCTTATAGCTGGGATCATGGAAGTGGGGGCAGAGGTGGTGGAGGCGAAGGAGGAGGACGAGGAGGAGGAGGAGAAGGAGAAGAAGGAGAAGGAGATTGAGAAGGAGGACAACAAAATTGGAGTTGCGGAAAAAAGTTTCCACTATTGCCATGCCTGGTGCAGGTTTGTTCTTGCTATTCTGGGGCTTGCAAAGGGGGTACCCTTTGTGGACCTGTTTTCTTGCTTTTTTTAATATTTTTTAATAAGGGTTTTATAAGGAAATCAGCTGTTTGGTACTTGGATCAGATTTCTGGAATCTAAGCTTTTGCTAATCAAAAGTGAAGGCTGCTTTGAAAAGGATTTGCTTTACTTGACTCTTTTGGCAATACTAAAAGTAAATGGAGCTAATTGACTTTTAGTATTGGGGAAAAAATTGGAGTTGGGAAAAAAGTTTCTACTATTGACAAGATATCACTATTGGCTAGACAACATTAAATGAGATGCCAATGCCACGCCAATCCAGGAAGAGGGGCGGGAAAAGGATTGGTGACTGAGCTTCTTTGGCAGAAGGCTTCTCAAGCAGCAACGCTTTGAAAGATGTCCACCTGGTGCAGATTGCACTGTCCAGACATGTCCAAAGCACATCTCTCATCAAAATCATCAAACAATTGCTATGACGGCTATGCTGGTAGTGCATCTTGCATCACCCTGGATAGCATTGCGTGCCTCTGCACACCCGTCCCATCCATGTCCTGAAAAGTCATTCTGCTCAAGGATTGTGAGTTCCTATGAAGACGATGTGACGATGGTGGACACTTCTCTCTCAAGAATTTAAGTGGTGGAGAAAACAGAAATCAAATACAAGACTTACAAGACATCAAAGGGTACAGTCTTCTCTAGGCGCTTTCAACATCTGTGACATATTGGCCGAACGCAAACAAGACGACACTTTTACCACGCTTCAGCTGAGAAACGCTCTCACGACCGTACCAGCCCTTGACATGTCTGGATACCCAGCCATCTTGTTGCAGCACAGCATAGCCAGGAACAGAGTAAGAATTGCCCTGCAGCAGAGACACACGTCAAAATATTCAACTTGCAGTTGTCCCAGCTGGAACTAAGCATGTGACTGTTCCTCTCTTCCTTCAGCCTACACAAGGTATGGCCAAATTGTTCTTTAGCAAAGGCGCATTCAGAGTGAGATTTAGCCGACTGACTTGCTCCAGGAGGTTCTGTGGGCCATAGAACCTTGGACCCCGTTGCTGGGAAATCAATCGCACCACAGGATCGCGAAGTGGAAATGTTCGCAAATCCGGAGTCCAGACTGCCAAAACGATCCGAAACCCAAAATGATCCCAAAATGACCGGTTTTGAAAGGTTCTGAATATGCATCACCAGCATCACGAGCATTGAAGAAACATTGAAGAAACATTGAAGAAACATTGAAGAA